ATGAATCACCTCTCAATTACTGTGCTGTTATGATTTCTATTTTTTATCTCTCTCAAATCTGAGGTAAACCCAAAGCCTTTCAAAAATATCTGCTCTGACAAACTTTGAGTCTGTCCATAGCAGAAGGGGAGGAAAATGAGGCATGGGATGTGGGAGGGAGAACTATTGGTTAATAAATTTTACCTTCTAAATCATTAAAATTCAGAAGTATCAAGAACGGCAATATCATGGCTAATGTTCAAAAATTGGCTAATGTCAAACATGTCCAGTGATTTATAATCATGAGGGGTTATTCAAAGTTCAACATAAATCAAAACACCAGAAAATACCCACTTGCCATGTTTAATTTATAAGGTCAACTGAAGGTAAAATCCACACAGTTCTAAATTTATTTCAAGCCTTTTGGTAGATTAAAAAAATTACAGATTCTCAGACTACCTAATAATTGTTTCATTACTGAACATTGACCCACAACAAATTACTTGGACTAACTTAGGATTCTTAAATTTGTAATTATTTTTGTTTGAAGCAATAAACACTAGTTCTTACACAATGCATATGAACACACTATATTGATTTTTGATAGTTACTAAACTTTCATATAAGCATTAAAAATGAGAATGTCATCTAGAGGCTTGTCTTTAAGACTTGAACATTTTTCGCAAGTTGGAAAAATAGAAAGATCTGCTGTGATAAATTAATCACAGGTATCCCTGGTAATAAAATGCACATGGAAGCAACCCTCGAAAGAAATGGAGCAGTAGGGTGTGGTGTTTAAAAGCACAGACTCTGGGAGCCAACTGTTTGAGTTAAATTTTAGTTCAGCCACATACTAGCTGTGTAAACTTGGACTAGTTACTTAACCTCTCTGTGCTTCAGGTACCTCAATTCTAAAATGAGAATAATAATAGTATGTATTTCCTATGGTTCTTGTGAGCAATACATAAAGCAATTAAAATAGTGCACAAAAAATAGTAAATACTCAATAAATGTTAGCTATTACTATTTAATTTGTATTAATTTTATTTTTATAAATATTAGGATTAATATTAGTATGAGCATTAATATTATTCCAAGGAATAAAGACATTACACATAGATATTAGGGAATTAGGACAAAGATAACTAGGGAACAATATGTAAACCACACCTAGAAACTGGCAAGAGACTATACTACAAAAACTTCTATCAATAGTTAATCATGGACTCACCTGTACAGACAGCTGCCCCATATTTCCACGGACAACTCAAGATCCTTTATTGGCTCATTCATCTTTTCCTAAGGTTTGGCTCAATTTATGTAATACATAAATTTCTGGCGACTAATCCACAATTCGGTAATTTTCATATAGCTCATTAAGAGTTGGCTGTATTTTAACATGCAATTTTACAATTAAATTTAGACTTCTCTAAACAAAGACAGCTAACTTATTAATTCTCCTAATCCCACTGGATAGTTGAAAATTGATAAGAGTGCATACATATTGCAGTATGGCTCCATTTTGAGGAAAATATAAAAATTTTTAGTCTTTATTTTTTAAATTGGATTATTAATAATACAATACTCATATGTGCATAATAATATAACATTTTCACTTCTTTACACATAATTTACTTAACCCACAACAATCCTTCGAGCTAGACACTATCATCCCCATTTCTTAGATGAAGAAATTGCATAAGCGCCCATGAAATAGATGTCACATATAATTCTGTCAGGCTCTTGAGGAATTTCATATTATTCTAGAGAAAAACCCATTAGTGAGAAAGTGGTTAACTAAAATTAATATTCCAAAGTAAATTTTCAACCTCTTCAATACTGCTAATGCAGGCCTTTTACAACCTAGAAGCTCTCCCACTCTACTAACACTTTGTCCTGTGGCCAAGTGGCCAAGATGCTTCTAACAAACTTCTTATTCTAAATATGCTATGCCTGGGGGTGTGGGGATCTGCATGGGTCCTATTCAGCTACCTAATAAATTCATACAGGATGCATCAAATACAGTAATAACCAGGAACACAGCCTTTCAGGGCTTTTGCTAAGCCTTAGTCTCGTCTTACAAAACAAAATTTCGAACTTTAGAATTTATTACCTAATTACAACAAGGGATTGTACAACCAATTAATTAACTTGCCCCAAACCAAATCTTAAATTGTGTTTAGGTGCCATCTAAATGGCATAGTGGAGCCCTGGCTGGTGTGGCTCAGTTGGTTGGGCGTTGTCCATGTACTAAAAGGTTGGCAGTTCAACTCCTGACCAGGGCACATACCAGGCTTATGGGTAGGAGGCATGCAGGAAGCAGCCGATGGATGTTTTGCTCTCACATCAATGTTTCTCTCTCTCCTTTCCCCCTCTCTCTCTAAAAATCAGTAAAAAATCTTTAAAAATAAAATAAATGTCATAGTGAAAAACAGTTCTATACACCACTTAACAAATGGTGAAAACGTGCTGTATACAACTATAAGTGTACTTAAGACTGACTTAAGAAAAACATTCAGTTTAAGATTTCTTCCAAAGTTAGCTACAAAAGTAAATAAACTGAGCCCTTTAACATAAATCAAAGTAGCATTTAGAAAATGCAGTATTTTTCTATTAGTTCTTTGAGAAGCACAAAGACAAAAAGAGGAGCACTTCCTTTGGAGTAAAATTACTTTATATAACTTGTGCAGAAATAAATGTCAGTACTACATGTGTAATGATGATTGGGAGGAAGATGAGAGAGGAGGGAAAAACCCTAGAATTTTATAACTAAAACTTTTAAAAACAAAAGGTATGTTAAAATGCATTCCTACAGGAATGCAGTGAAGAAAACAACATTCCATATTTAGAACTGACTATATATATTTTAAAAGTGTAAAGCTCAGAACCCATAAAGGAATGTCTCGCCCTGGCTGGTATGGCTCAGTTGGTTGGTGGTGTCCCAGTACTCTGAAAGGTCTTGGGTTCAGTCCCTAGTTGGGGTGCTTAGGAGAGACAACCAATCGATGTTTCTCTCTCACATCAATGTTCCTGCTTCTCTCTCTCTCTCTCCCTCTCCCTTCCTCTCTCGAAATCAATAAAGGGATATCCTCCGTGAAGATTTAAAAAAAAAAAAAAAAGAAGAAGAAATGTTTCTGTTAACTAGGGATTAAACTGCTAAGGACTACCAAGGCATGCAGAAAGCAAGGACTACCAAGTTTTTCTTTCCATCTTTTACTGACTTTTTAAAAAAATGTCTGAAGCACTTGTCTGCTTTAAATGTGCAATATTAAAAATATAAAACTTGCAGATAATGTCATTTCACAGGATAAAAGCAACCATTATATATTTATTATATAAGAATGTAAATATATATATATATTCCAATGGTAACAGAAGTATAACTGACTAAGACCACATCTGAAAGGTGTCTTCTAAACTAAATCCCAATTATTACATGTTCATTTAGTCCCAGTTAATTTTGGCTAACCTAAACTTTATGCAATCATTCTGCAAACATTTGTTAATCACCTACTATGTGCTAGGTAATAGAACTACACTGGGGAGGGAAATAATGATATATACCTGCCATTTGTTTTATATGCTCTAATATTAACCAACATATAAACTTCCAGAATCTTACAGTATTAATATTTTCATAAAAATACTTCCCAAAATGCACATTATTTGGAATCAACAACTCATAATTCAATAATATTCCAAAGAGAAGTTCTAATAACAAAGAAGGTTGTCTGGCACAGAAATACGCCAGCAAAAATGAAAAAGATACAATCTGTTTCAGTAATTTAAATCACCCTGCCAAAATGTGGAATTTAATGTCTTACCTAATGCTTAAAGTATTTTTCTTTTAATCTATTCCCGATTGCCTTATTATATTAAAAACAAAAGAATTGATTTTTATATCTCTTGGCATTTTATGTGCTTTGATAGAAGACCTTTTGCTTTATTAAACCACAATGTGTTTAGGCAGCACAAATGTATTAAAATATGCATCTTAAAAGTGAAGAGATCTCTTGACAGCAGTTTTAATTCCCCATAATAATCAGAAGCTCTAAAAGTACTATAAACTGGTAAACTTGTAAGATATAAACTGGTAAACTGGTAAAACATATAGGTGTCATATTGTGACTTTTCACATTCTCCCCCAAATGCGTCAATAACTTCACCCTACTCATATCTGGGGTACATATAAATACATAAATATCGTGTCCCATTATTAAATATAAATTTATATTCCACCAAAATTTCACATTTCTTCTTAATTAAACTCATTGAAATTACTAGGTAAACAAAACTATAAAAACCTCCATGTGAAGGGGAGGGAGAGGCGCAGAATTGGGAATGAATACTGATATGTACAGGGTTTCTTTCTGGGGTGATGAAAATGTTCTAATATTAGACTGTGGTGATAGCTGCATAACTCTCAATATATTAAAAGCAACCAAACTATACACTTTAAGTGGGTGAATTTTATGGTATGCAAAATATATCTCAATAAAGCTGGGAGGGGAGATCCCCATATAAAAACACTTATCAAGTTCCAGTCTCCAAAAGCATCCATGGATATAAAACTATTGCTTCTGCCGCGTGGCTCAGCGGTTGAGCGTAGGCCTAGGATCCAGGAGATCAAGGTTCAACTCCCAGTTAGGGCACATGCCCGGGTTTGCAGGCTCGATCCCCAGTGGGGGGAAAGCAGGAGGCAGCCGATCAATGACTCTCATCATTGATGTTTCTATCTCTCTCTCCCTCTCCCTTCCTCTCTGAAATCAGAAAGATATATTAAAAAAAAAAAAAAAAACCCCTATCGTTTCCCGTATTGTCCTGTTATTATATCATCCATCATTTTATTCAGTAAGGGAACTATCAATTGTCACGGTAACAATGCAATGGCTTTGGACAATGGCTTTAGACATCAAATCATTTCGTTTTGCCTAAGTCAGTGGGTGCCTTAAAGATTTACTGCTTCATATAACATTAATACACACTAACCACTCCAAAAAACTCTACAGAGGTTCTTATACCTGGTAATCCAAAATGCTGAATCCCAAGCCTTTATGATCTTTAACTAGTTCAACAATCTTGACTTCAGGAGACCACAGTGCTAATTCCTCATCATCTTCTTCTTCAGTATTGACATCTACATTGCGATCGGCCTGAAATACCAAAGAACATACATGCTTCAAAACACTGTCCTTTCAATTCTGAAAAGAACCTATCAGGAATCTCATATCTTCTTCTCAAACTGGGCGTTCTCTCTGGCATGCATGGTTTTTCCCTCTAATCTTTTTTAAAGGGGGCATGCACTGGGGTGCAGACACTCTGGCATGAGATCTTCGAGAAAATTCAAGCACTTAAAAATGCAGACTGTTCATACAGGTTTTTGAAACGTAAGGTACCCATTTCATTCAAAGTATTAACACTGACCTCTTATACTTCAATGAGTTCTGTCATCCCATTAGAAGCATAAAAGGAAAAATAGGCAATTTAAGGAAAAATGAAAACATCATACAAAGTCAAAGCTTATAAGATATTTAAGTAGCAAAACCTGAATTCGTAATTATAGTAAGAAACAGAGAAAAATGCCAACACAGAAAAAGGCAGGACGGGACACAGAGAAACCACTTCTGTTGGCTGCTAGAAGTTTTCAAGAAAAAACTTTACTAGAAAAAGAAGGTGGAAAAAAATCTAAGTCTTTGGGAATTGTGTGAGTCTAAAAACAGGTAAAAATCACTGAGCTGAAATAATGAAAATCTCACCTTGGAGGAAGTAGATCAGCACAACTATCCAGTACACTGGTCCTTGGTTATTTACCCTGACCTCACACCCTCAGGTCCCCTTATTCCAGGCCTCCTCTCCTTTCAGAGAAAAGAGTTGCTGCCATATGGAATTCTAGGAAGCTAAATGATACAGGTCCAATGAATCAACTATGCAGAGCAAGAATAGCTGCTCCAACCTCTGCCTTTATACTATTTATAGCACTGTATTGTTGTTTTTTATATGATTTAACTTCCCTAAAATACTCTGAATTTCTACCTGAAGCTCAAGAATTATCTTTTTCTTTGTAGCCCTAGCAACAGGCTAGAATGAAAACTCTGTGCACGCTACCATAGACTTTACCATGGTTATTCACTCAACCCACAACAGTGCCTGGCTCACAACAGCCACTGGACACATACTTGATCATACATTGATAAACCATCCATCTTTCAGTGGGTTTCCCATGAAACTTTTTAAATAAAGCTACAGAGTAAATAATAATTTTTAAAAGTAGACTCCTTACAACTTTGGGTAATCCAAGTAAATAAAATGAAAGTGTATTATTTCTACAAATATAATTGTTAGTGACCTGTATAAGAAAATCAATTTAATGAAATCAAAGTTGGGAAGAGTAAGGCAGCACAGCTAATTAGGGTTGGTTCAGACCTCAAACTGTCCCTGTTGGACACGGAAAGTTAACAGTCCATAGTGAATTGAATCTAAGCATGGGTAGAATTTCTTGATTCTTGAATTACAAAACTTGAAATTAATGGGAATGTTCTGGATCAGTAACCTCTGTATATATCAGCTTGATGTGAGGAAATGATACACTTAAAGAGAAAACACTCATACCTTCCAATAAAAAGCAAAGTTCCAATGTCTAATACAATATGATTGATGTTCTACTGGGGCATTTAATACCCTCACTGATTAATGAGCATTAGAATTTTGGCTGAGCTGTCTAACCAGGCAGAGTTTAAGAACCTAAGAGGGTATTGGGATAAATGAAAAAAAGAGACAGATGGAAAAGAGAGCCAGGATTTTAAAAACCACATATAATTATAAAACCCAAGTTGACAGAAATTTCAAGGCATCTAAGGTATATAAGATATTATTCTCCAACCTGAAATATATCACTTTGATACAATCAATTCTGCATAACTCCTGTATTCACAGAATGGAAAGCAATCAACTAATGGGCAGCAAGGCTGACATTTAGCATAGCTCAGAGCTGTAGTTTACCCATCGTGGTGAAGTATGACAGATGGGAGGACACAGTCAGCAAGCTGGGTGGGTGATTCACACACCCTGCAACATTAGATTAAAGGCATTTTTATCAGCCTTTAGAGGTAAGCCATCGCCCACATTTAATTTTAGTAAAGGTAACAAGAATCAAAAAAGTGTAGCATTTGAGTCCCTTCTTTGAAGTTTGTTTTACAAAAGATAAACATTTAAAAAACAATTCCCAATCAATAACTTACTAAGCACTTATGTGCCCAGTACAGAATAAAAACACTATGAGATACAAAATAATTTTAAGATATATCCTCTGCCCACAGGAGCTGACGGTTTTCTGGTAAAAGCAAGCCTAAGTATCTATGACTATAAGACAGTGCTATGCTAGACTCTTAAGTCCTTAGGAGATCAGAAAGTAAACATGGGAGAGCTGGAGGAGTCAAGAATAGCTAAAGCTAACTTTTACTGAGCACTTTCCATGGGCAAGGCATGTGCCCAGAACTTGGCATACATTACTTCACCTCCTCCTCGCACAAACCAATGAGGTTGCTAAGTACTCTAAGTATCCCCACTTTTCAGAGGAAGAGTATGAACAGAAAGTCAAGTTACTTGCTCAAAGATTCAAAATCATTAAGCGGTAGAGCAGGATTAGATCCCTGTCTTTTGAAATTCAGACCATAAGCAGGCAAAAGGGAAGATTCCATGTATCTAAACTTTTATTAATGGAATTAAAATCTAGAAGGGTCTGGAAAGGTGGAAATGACATAAAAGATGAGGTTACAAATGGCACAAGGTGACAAAGCATGGGCTTGAAACTGTTTTCATAATGACAATGCTCTTTTTAAAAAAAAAAAAAAGAGTGCCAAGAGCACAAAAAGTGTTCTTTTATTCTCTGACCTTCTGAAGGCTTTGACAGCAATTTTTAGACTCACTTCAAAATTGGTCATAGATCTTATTTTTAAGGCTCTGAAAAAAGGGAAGTCCATTAGATATTCAACACTCACCAGCATCTTCAACTGATTAAGATGAACTGAGTTAAACTGGGAGCCAAAAGTAATGAGCCCGGGCAAATGCTAAAAAAAGGTTCTCTCAAGTCCAAGTGCATGCACATTAATGTCACCAATATTGCAAGGGGGTAAAGAAAAATTTTATGACATTAAATGAAAAGGAACAATTTGAAAGCTACTCATTATGGCTTGAGAGCTACTGTAGTCAAAGAAAAGAAGGGGGAAATATTTTCTTTCTTTTCATATTGTAGCACACTCTTCGGGGCATCCTTGATGAATGGGCATGCCTGTGGGAACCAGGGTACATTAATTTAGTACCTCCATCTCAGGAAGAGGGGCTTCAGTGGTCCTTGGATCATCTACAGAGGCTTCATCGTCAAACAACCGTCGACAGCAAACCAAGGTAAAGGGGGGTGGCACTTCTTTAAGGAAAGAGACTGCTTCTCGGCGAGATTTCCCATAGAGCTGCACACCATTGACCTAGAAAGATAAGGGTAAGTCTGAAATAAGGTGGTCTCAGGTCAAAAAATAAAAAATCTCTGTCTTACATCAACCTATCAAAATGAAAATAGGGTTTTGTTTTACTTTTCCTGTAAATAAAAGGCCTATATTTAACAATATTTTAGTAGCAACTAAAAACATTAGAAATCCTTAAAATTTATAAAAACTAAGGCTAAACCTTTATTGAATTTAGGCGAATCAAGTATGAAATGGGTACAGAGTACAACTTTTTTATTTTATTTTTTTATATGTCTTTATTGATTTCAGAGAGAAGAAGGGAGAGGGAGAGAGCAATAGAAACATCAATGATGAGAGTCATTGATCGGCTGCCTCCTACACGCCCCCCACTGGGGATCGAGCCGCAACTAGAGCATGTGCCCTGACCAGGAGTCGAACCAGGACCTCCTGGATCATAGGTAGATGCTCAACTGCTGAGCCACACCCGGCCTGGCCAGAGTACAACTTTTACTGGGTATGTGATCTGCTTAATTTTTCAAACCTCCATGGTTCCTCCTTTCTATACTCCAATGTCATATTCTCTCATCTACTTCTACCCATCTCTCCTTAAACATATTCAGTATCATGTACAGACTTCTTAAGACCATTTCCTCTTGCTTTTTTATTTTTTAAGAATATCATTATAGATATTAACACTAATTTTAAGGCTGTTAATAGCTACTGAACTTACAACATGTAGGTAAAAAAATCTAGGCTACCAGGCTCACAAAATTTAGCCTCAGTTCACAATTTTCTTTCACATCCTACAAACTCTTAATACCAGACCAAGGAAAATCACTTCTATAGAAAAGTAGATATAACATTGCATCAGTTCTATTCTTACACGCTCTGCTGACACAGTCATCAATTGTAGAAAGTGTCAGTTTTCAAATTATTTTATATGTTTAAAACAACAAAAAGATAACCAACTATTACTTAATAATGAATAATGCTTATCACCAAAAAGTATGTAAATTTCATATTCTTTCTAGTGCATAACAATATTTTGCACCAAAGATGATTTATAAAGATGTCTATTCTAATTTTCCATATACTGTATATGACTTTAGCTCAAGGAGCTCTGCCAGCTCTGACTAAAAGTCAGAAAAAGCTGATCTGTCTGCTACTCCCCAAAGGCTGAGGCATGAACACAATCCAGGCAACCAATAATCTTTTCACATCTAACTCTCCTTTCCTGGGAGGGTTCAGCAGCATTATTAGTTTTAAAGACATTCTGGTCTGGCATTAATTTGTGACAGGTGCAGTGCTAATGTCCAGATAACTGGCAGGGCTGCCTTTCCTGGGAGGAAGGTTTCCACAAAAATCTGTCACTGCTCAGAGAATAAGAGCAGAGTGGGTTGGTGGAAGCATCCCATCAGTAGTGATCTGAGCCCCGAATCAACTGTCCCTTGGAACCACTCTTAGGCCTGTAACATACCAAGCACTTAGCCATCAGGCCAGACAATCTCCCTGCCTCTTAATTATTTACAAAGAAATCACCACACAGTAAAGAGACCCGCATGCGCTTCAGGGAGTGAGCCCTAGTGGAAAAGTAAATATCATCTCTCAAGACGTTATGACTGATGAAAGGGCCCAGGGGACAGCAAGTGCAGCAGCAGATGAAAGGTTTTCCTTGGAAGAATTACCAGCCAATCTTCACACAAAATTGGGCAGGGAGGTACCTGCCAATGGTCACACTGTTTCAATGGTGCCAACTGGTGCCAGAGCATAGAAAGGCCTAAAACCAACCAAATGGGTAGTAATCTACACTGAAAATAAAGCAAGATCATACAATCAACGCAGGAATTCTACCCACATGCAGTATTAGTTGTGTTTTACATTACTTCAACAAATTAGAAAGACACTTTTCAGGTTTTCATCTTGGAGTACATTTAAATATTTATTTAGCTCATTATTTATTCATTTGAATTGTCTCCAATTATTATAGCAGTGCCTGGTAGTCCTCCTCTCTGCGCTCTACCGCTGAAGGGATTGGTCACATTTCCCATTACCAGCTCCTATCTAAGGGGATTTATAGCTACTGTAAATAGCTGCTCTGGGCTGAGAGTTGGCACAGTGTTCTAACCCCAAAGCATATTTGTGTTTCTGGTTTTAAACTCTAAGGAATACATTAAACACACACTCTCTCTCTCTCTCTTTCTCTCTCCCTCTCTCTCTCTCTCACACACACACACACACACATACTTTAAGCTCAGAAGTTTTATCTGGTAACTTTACAGAGATTTAAAAAAATTATTTCTATATTTGGTTACTCAGAAGCAGCCAATTTTTATTTTAGAGTTCATAATATTTCTCTAGGCCCTTCAACTTGAGACCCTCTTGAGTGCTGTCAAGTTTCCCGTTTCAGATTGTGATTAGAAAACGCACACACACATACTCATTTGCAGAGCACATCACACTGCACAAGTATTGTGCCACTACATTACCTCATTCGATCCTCACTAATCCTATCCCATAAAGACTGTTTATGCCTTTTCCCAGTGAGAATACTGCCAATATCTCATTGTGAGGTAATGCTTTATAGTTTACATGAGTGATACTCCATTAGATCCTCACCAACACAGTCAAGTAGGCATTTATTGGGAAGAAACTGATTCTCAAAAAGTTAAGTGACATGCCAAAGGACATGGTTACACTGTAGCAAATTCAGAACCAAAATCAACTCTTCTGACATTCAAACCTGTGCTTCTTTCTGTATCCTAAATTCTTTTACCAAAAATCTATACTTATAAATTCAAGTCTTCATGCTGCCTTATCTACCACATTCTATTACAAGGTCAAAGGCCCACAGGGTTCTAATCTTGGCTAAGGCACAGAAGACTCAGTTGACAGCTAGGAGGACTTATACTTGCTCTACTCAGAACTAGCTAACATTTCTTTACTACCTACCATATACTAGTAGTGAATTATACTTAAGGCCACTGAATTATACACTAAAAATGCTTACAGTGTAAATTATACGTTAGGTATAGTTTACCACAAAAAGTGAACTAAATTGGTTTTTGCTCATATTTCCACATCTCCCAAGTTAATATATCTCATTTCTCTGTATCTAACACCTACATATTAGAGAAATGGTTTCCAAATGGTTTCCAATCTACAGATTATCATGTCTGATTATCCACAATGCTAAGCCATGTGCCCAGCAAATCAGAAAGAAAGACATAATTCAGAACAAATAAAAAACTATAAGTGATATAGTAAAATCTAGGGCATTAATCTGCCAATAAGCATCCCAATATCATTCCTTGAACAACTCTAAAATAACTAACTTACTACATTTTACAACAGGACTGAAATACCCTCCCAAGCTTATGATAGAATTTGACAACAATGAGTCATAGCACTTTTCCCTCTGACCTTGACATTCAACATACTCTTTTAGGGGCCTGGACACTGCTAAAAATAAAATGCAGCTGCACTTAACAAGAAACCTACTTGCTATCCTTATCATTCTACTTTGAGCAGACATAAATTTTAAAAAGAAATTTCTATAACCAAGGCTCATGGGATTCTAATCTTAGCTAACTACAGCTACTAGGCTGATTCTATTAAACCCAGCCTAGGGCTTCCTGTGGTTCCTAACTTTTGGGAGAAAGAAGCCTCTTTACTCAGCCTTCTCTAAGTTTGACCATTCCCCACATTTTTTTAAGGATCTTAGGAAGTACTGTGATATACTTAAAACAAAACAAAAAATAGTGGAAAGGGGGTTAGAACACATGAACTAAAGTTGTCATTCTACCAGTGTATAAAGTTGGAGGAAATCAATGCCTTATTTTCTTGTTTGTAAAATTAGGGGTTTCAGTGTTGATTGGTTTGTTCAGTGTGTTAGTTATAGAACTTTCCAATCTAACAAAATCTCTCAAGAAAGTCAGGCCAAAGAAGAAGTGTTCTAGAACTGATCTGATTGAAGAGCGGCTAGGGAGCCTAAGTGAGCCCACTAGAGGCTGCCATGTTGTGGAGAGTTCCAAGGAGACAATCTGAAAATCAGTGAAGAATACATAAGCCCGAGGTCACCCAGCTCTAATCCTAATTAGAAATAATCAACAAAAAATGCAAGTAAATGTCACTACATGTTTCAAGTAAGGGTCAAGAATTAGATTCTTAAAAAGAATTTTGCTCAAAAAAATACTAATTATGCTATTAAACTAAAATAGGATATTAGCTTCTTTCTTAGTCAACTATTTAAATAAGCACTCAGACATCTCAGGAGTCCCAAAAGATGGGGAAAATGAAGTTAAAGCATATTATCTACTTCCTTTATCATTACATAAGCTGTTAGTATTTTTGTCTTTTGTTTTTTCCAGACATATTGAGATATAATTGACATATAACATTGTGTAATTTTAAGGTCTATAATGTGATAACCTGATATATACATATGTTGTGAAATGATTTCCACAATAAGGTTAGTTAACAACTCCATCATCTCACAGTTACTATTTATGTCTGTGTGTAGTGAGAACATTTAAGATCCTCAGCTACCTTGAAGTATACAATATATATTAACTATAGTCACCAAGTTATTTCATTCTAAATAGGTCACATTTCACTGGCATCGGTGATAATATAACTCAGTGGATCTCTGGTGAGAACACAATTTCCTGGAGCTTAAAAATTCCTGTCTGTCCCTCATAAATTTTACCTCAAGAAGTTCATCCTCTGGCTGAAGGAGGCTCAGTGTATCAACAGGACCACCTGGAACAATTGAAGAGATATAATGGTGTCCATCGAAGGAATCCACTTCCATGCCAAGCCTCAGAGTGTGAATGGGCAGCAGCTGCAACAAAATACAGAGCAATAATATCAAACACCACAAGGACACATCTGGCTGTTAATCCTCCATCAGGTATTTGACAGGAAAGCCCCACCCCTTGAATAAGATCAGCAAAATCCAAAAAGATGATGATAAAGGAAAGCCAGCCTCAAGTAAAATATGAGGTTGCTTGTCTTCTCATTTCTCTTTTCATTTAGATTCCCTGAGAATAAAGAAGCAGATGTACCAGGTCCTGCTTTCAGTTCTAAGCTCTAAGTACTCCAAACTCCCCAAGTTCCTGGTGCTGATTCTGTGTTTCACTTTTTTGCAGGGCTTCCCATCTCCCAGAACATCCTAACTTCTCTTTATTATCTAATTAACTTCCATGCACACTTCAATACCAAACCAGTGTCACTTCCAGAAGGCACCTCCTGATATCTGAGTTCATCCACCTTCTCTTTTTTTTTTTTTTTTAAATATATCTTTATTGATTTCAGAGAGAGGAAAGGAGAGGGACAGAGAGTTGAAACATCAACGATGAGAGAGTCGTCATCAATCGGCTGCCTCCCGCATGCCCCTGACCGGGAATCGAGCCCGCAGCCCTGGCATGTGCCCTGACCGGGAATTGAACCGCGATCTCCTGGATCCTAGGTCGATGCTCAACCGCTGAGCCATGCCCGGCCGGGCCATCCACCTCCTGATATCTGAGTCCATCCACCCCACCTGAGGTCCGACACCACCCTGTGCACACTGCCGTCACAGCTCACCACACACTGTGTTTAAAATTTGTTTTCTTGATTGCTCCCCTTGCTTGAGTGCTGAGTCATATCTTTTCTCTCTATAACCTCAGGCCCTAAAATAGTAGCAGGCACTAAACATGGGTTCATTAAATGTATTTGATTATAATTGAAAATTTTTTCTTAATTAAAAAAAAACACCATTATTTGAACTAATCCATGAAAGATGTTACCTCATTCGAGATGTCCTTCACCATCTCATCAACTTAAATAAAAACTTCTGATTTGTGGGGTGTATAATAAGAGAGGTAATCTTTACTCCACCATAAGATTGATGCTGTTGGTTAAAAGGGTTTATACGATTAAGCTAAGAAATGAGTCAAAAGCTAAGAAACTAGCCAATGTCAAAGTGAGTGTCTTGGTGTTGTTGGCTGTGAAGAGATGAGTGTCTTGGTGTTGTTGGCTGTGAAGGTAAAAGGCATTCACCAAACTCCATTCCCTTGACTTTCAAAGACTGAGCTAATAATTTCTCACTGTGACTATATAAACTCAAATATGGTAAATGGTACTAATTATGACTTATATTTCCTATATCAATAGTCTGTTTTATCTAAAAATATCAGGCCTATCACTGTGTACTTGATAAGGAGAAAACCCTACACGAGGTGGCAATGCATCCACATTGTGGCTCTTTCCCTCATAGTCCTTATTCTCTGTGACCTCTGCGCTTCTCACCTCCCCTTCGTTGTCTGCTCTGAGTCACCAGAGTTCCACAGACCTTGCCTTAGACACCACCTGGGGCTCATTACTATCCCACTACAGACACACATGCAAATCTGAAGTGGCATGCAGCCCAGTCACTAAGGCCTCAATGACTTCAAGTAGACATAAGTGACTTTTGGCCCTGGGGTAATATTCTGAAAAGTAAGTGCTCTTGGCCACCAAGCACCTCAGAATCTCCCAGCACCTACTGAAGGGGTGGACAACTGAAAAAAATGAAATGATTGATTTGTTTAGTTGCTAAATGCAGCTGGATTGGGTAATGAAACAGTCCTGCCCCCACAGAGAAACCTGCAACAATGAAGTGCTATTGTGAATCCCTTCCCAACTAGTGGTTTCAGTGATGTCATTTTGGTAGCTTGAAATCTACTATGATGGGACAGTTTACACCACAGGTATTGGTAAATGCTACAAATTGGAGCTGCTTTTTTTTTTCCTTTTGAGAGCCAGGTTTTACCAGCATACTATTCATCTGCAATGTAGTTTGAACATGCTATCTAGCATATATTTATAGGATATAAACTATGTGCAAGGATTTGAGCTATGAGTTTTCTACCTTCATGGAACTAACATTGTGTAGAGACAGACAATAAACAAGCAAGAGAGAAGGCAGACACATGCAGACAAATAAGTAAACAATTCACCAGCAAACAAGTGAAAAATAAACAAATAATTACTAATTGTGATAAGTGCTCAAACATAATTGGCGCAGGCCATTCTGGAAAGTTGGTCAGAGTAGGTTTCAGAGATGAGGACACATTTAAGGTGAGACTTGAAGGATAAGAATGAATCAACCCTACAAAGACCCTGCTGGGAGATTCCTTGTGGGAGGTTAAGCGAAAAGAATTAATTGCCCAGGTTTTGGTTTGTGTAACTGAGTAGATAGTGGTAGCAATTTCTGCATAGAAATAAGTGCCCAAATTAAAACAAAGACATTGCTGTACACAGAGAGAGATCTTTGGTACTTATATAACAATGTGCCTCCCATTAAAAAAAACAAGAGGATTAAGGAGGGAACTGATTCCAATCTCCTGTTCCAGCCCTTTACCAATCCTGCTCCATTCACTTGGTTGACACCACATCCATGGAATAGTTGACATCAAGAATAGGTTGAAGCACTGAGGAACAGCAGAGGCTTACCCATGGAATCTCTTGCCTGCCAGACACAAGGCTCTGTCCTTCTGGGCTATTCCAGCTCATAATTATAAACACCACATGCTCCCTAGAAACTTACACCATGAGCAAGACACACATGTTCCATCTTTAATCATGCTAAGCAAATAAACCAGAAATGATGTTTACAAAATCTGTCAATCTGAAAGAGGCCTACCTAATATTAGTTCTGAATCTAAATCTGAGTACAGCTGGGTTTCTGAGACTTCGCATTACATTGCTGCAGGCTTCTCTGCAGGAGCAGGACTGTTTAATTACCTGTCTCAGCTGCATTTAGCAACTAAACAAATCAACCATTTCGTCTTTCTCTTTCAGTTGTCCACCCTTTGGTATTCTGAGTTCTGAGAGAGAGAGCAGAAAGTGCTAAAATGACAGGAGCGGATGCAACAGACAGATGATTGACATCTTCACACATATCACATGTTATTTTAGGTGCTATTCTTTGCACTTTGCAAGGGGTCCTATTGAAATTGACAAAACTAATGAGCAGCAGAATTGTCACGATCCTGATATGACAAGTAAAGGATGCAAGGAAATGTATCCAAGGAAAGTGTGACCATGGTGTGATTTACTGTCAGTGCTAAAATGACAAAGATCAAGTAAGATCAAGAAACCTACAGGTCTTCAACCCATGAGTAGGAGAGACCTGTTATGAAACAAGCCACAGCTCATTCATTTCACTAAAAGCTCTACTTTTAGGATCCTAAAACAAGATATCAAAACACTCAAGTGAGAATATGAATGATGTTGCTTGGTGGGGGTCACTTCTGGAAAGGAAAAGATATGTCAGTGAGATGGGGGAGAATGCTTCCAAAAATGTTGAACTCAAAATAGAACAGAAAGAACTCCATGATTAGTTCTTATGAGAGAGAGAGTGAGAAATTGATTGATTGATTGATTGATTGATTGATTGATTAAATAGGCACATAGCCATTTATGTTTAAAGATAAGGGGAAAAGAGGTACTAAATTTACCACAAATAAGAAACAAACTTTCTAAGAATGAGGCTACAACTTTTAAACTAAGGGTGAAACACAGCATAATGACCTCACTTGGGCTATGCAAGACAATCAATCAATCCATTAGAGCTTGATTTATGTATTAGTTTTTCTCACTCATCTAATATTTTAACTCTGAAGGTTCAAAAATACACACTGTGTACTGTTGTACAGAAATATATTGAAGAGTCTCTTCAGTTTCCTAACACAAAGGTCAAGTGTCAGTTGCCACTATCATTTTAGATATCATTTATGTTACCTGTCTGGCCCATGTGATATCTGATCTTTTGACACCTGATCTAACACTCTGCACTATGACTCTCTCCCTCCCTTTGCTCATGATATTTCCTCTATCTGGAATATCTACTGTTCTTATTTCTGCAAACCCATTTATTTTTTCAGAGTATAGTTCAAATGCCATCCTCCCAACAAACTTCCTTCATCTGTCTTGAAGAAGTAACGCTTCCGTCCTTAAATACACATAGGCATTTTAGCAATAATTGAACAAAAATTCTCAATGGAATGAGGCAAGGAAGGGATCACAATTTACTTTGGGGACCTCACCCCAAACCTACAGAATCAGAATACTGGTCAGGAGGAACAAAATAGGGCATTTGTATTTTGAAAAAGCTCTTCTGATCTTTCTGATAGGCCATCTGCCCTAGTCAATAACCTAGTCAATAACCATTGTTGTTATAGTTATCTGAGACCAGGAAAGTATACAATTACATGCTTGAGAATTGGTAACAGAGGTTGGTCACCTCTGGGGGAGTACAAAGGGACTGGGATGGGAGGGAAACAAATTTTGCAGTACAGATTTCAGTAACTTTAAAATTTTATGTCTTGTCCATATATTATCTACTCAGAATAAAGAATGGCACGACTCAGAAGCCAGATAAGCCTTGATTTATTTCCTGACTTTACCACTTACTAGCTACATATGATCTTGGGCAAGTCACTTTATCTGCTGGACACTCAGTTTCTGCATATTAAAAATGGAAAGGAGGAAACAGCTGCTGATCAATGGGGTAATTGTGAGATATAAAGGAGATAATGTATTTAAAGCAAAGAACTGACCCTAATAATTGAGTAGTGACGCCCAATGCAACTCCTGGAGGGCCCAGTCATACCACTGCCTTAAAAATTATATTTACTCACATGGAGAGAGGAGGAAACTCACATTTAATGCTCTTTCTAAATCATAGTCTGTCAGTCTGTCTTGTCAAAACCAGAGAACAGGACCTGGTACTTTTGTTTCCCACAAACAGAGATACTGCTAATGCTCACTCCATATCACAATTGATGGCCAGCAGAAAGGTCACTGAAATGAGCTTTAATGCTTCTCCCTCCCAAGGCTGTGATTATCTTAATAGTAAACACTTGCCAACAAAGCCATCCCTAAAAGTGCAAGTCTCCCCAGATCCGGGAAAACCATTCTTGTGTCATGATTAACAGCTTCCTAGAAGCAGTGCAGCTAATGCTCAGCCACTGTAAATTGCTTTCACCTCCCTTTTCCCCACAACTCTTCTTGAATCAGAATCCCTTCAAGAGTCATGGCTATGGGGTGGTAACCAGAGTGACCATCTACAGACAGCTAGACCCTTAGGAACCCCAATGATAGCCATGAAATGTGATTTTCCTAATCAGAAAGCTCATAGGATAGAGGGAAATCCTAGAGCTTTGAGAGACTTCTGATGAAAATGAAAGAAGAAAGTGCCAAAACAGGACTGCCTTTGAACATCATGAATACAGAAAAAAATACACAACTTTAACATAGACAATGAAGACATTGCAATTGTTGAAGATTTTGCTTGCCTTGGTTCATCAATTCAAATGGAGACTGCAGCCAAGAAATCAAGAGAAAGAGCTGAGACTTGGAAGGGCAGCAATGGAAGAATTAGGAAAGATCACCAAGAGCAAAGATGTGTCATTAGAGAACAAGGCGAAGTTCATCCACACCCTGTGTTCTCAATTACTATGCACAGATCCGAAAGTTGGACAATGAAGAAGGCAGATAGGAAAAAAGGGATTCATTTGAAATAGTGTTGGAGGAGAGTCTACAGATACCCTGAACAGAAAGATGAACAAGTGAGTCCTAGAGCTAATTAAGTCTAATGCACTGCTGGAGGCACAAAATGACCAAACTGAAGCTGTCCTACTTGAGACACATCATAAAACGGCAGGGTTCTTTAGAAAAGACAATAATGCCTGGAAAAACAGACGGCAGCAGGAAAAGAGGAAGACCAAATATGAGATGGATTCACCCCATGAAAGAAGCTGAGCTGGGCTGCTGAGGACAGGACACTGTGGGTATCACTCATTCACAGAGTCCCCAGGAGTTGGAGCCAACTTAACAGCTCGTAATATACATATGACAGCAGAGTTTAAGCTGGGCTCAGCTCATACACCCCATGTAGGATTATAGTGTAATTTTTGAAACTAATCTGACAAGAAAACCTTACCTTTCTCATCATTTGTTGAGAAAGCCACCTAGAAGGCTTCTCTAAGTTTCAATTCCCTGGCTGTTGATTATCCAGAACAGGAACTATAAAATTAATTTGTAGTGAGAGGACACTAAAAACTGTAAAAGTTGCCTTCTGGCATTTTGCCATTAGAAATAAAGCTCTCACTATAAAATTTTTTAAGTACAAGAAAAAACATTGTTTATACTCAGAAGATAAACCACTTTTCTGTCCTTAGACATCTGGACCTGAAGGATTTTTTTTAAAGTCTGTATTTGTGGTCCTGATTTTCAGAAAACGTTTAAAAGGCCTTCTTATAAAATCTGAAAAGCTTACACACACTCTGCACAATGCTACTCTGTATACTACCTTTTAAGGTGGGCAAAGCAGTCAAACCTGAGTTTTTGGATTCTGGGAAGTGGTACAAGGGACCTTATGCTCTTCCCAGGCACAGCTAACCATCACCTTTCATAAGTGAGAACTCACCACATTTCCCGAAAACGTCTAAGACTAAATTCTGGAAAGTTTAGGTTACGGCACTAATTAAGTTTCTTCAACAAGAACTTAAAGACTAAGTTCTTCCGACAAAAAATTGGTAATTTTTTTTTAAATAATGCTTACCTTTGAATATTTCTGTAATTCAGCATCGTCTGCAATCTGTGTGTCCAAAGTAGCAACCTAAATTTACAAAACAAAAAATCCAATATTTACAAAAAGCATAACTTTTTTTCTTCCTAGGTTTCCTGAAAAAAAATCTGTAAAACTACATATCCCAATTGAAAAAATGCATCTGACTATAATCTTTTTTTGATATTTCTAAACTCTAAGTATAACAACACGTCAGGTAAATTTCAGAGACTATTTGCTTTTCTGTTGTTCTCCACAAAAATCTTTTTTTCCTAAATTATTCAAAAGTTGAACCAGAAGGTGCTGGGCAAATACATATACTATTTTTTAAAATCCATGATCCCTAAAATTTTAATATAATCCTCCATTATACTGAATCCATAAAAAAAAATCTCATTCTTCTGACAAAACCAAGAGTCTGGTCATTTTTACTTTTAAATTCCGCTTTAAAACAAAGTTTGCAAGGTCAGTGAAGTCAGACAAGAGTGGAAAAACTGACGCGTCTGACTTTCCACAGCAAGCTCAAACCATTTCCCTAGGAGAAATGGCTGGCAAGGACACAAACAGAAAGATCTGGACTGGTGGGAAGCTCATGGAATACCTAAAGCTTTTAATCCTGGCTGGCCTAAAACTATTGTTCAAAGCTCCAATGGTGGACAGCCACAGAAATGAATGGCTTACAAGCAAAATACGTTACTGATGATTTGCATCTGTAAGTTGTTAATAAAATATGGTGCATATCTGGAAGGAAGAGATAAGTTCAACAGTGCTCCAACTAAAGCTTTTAAAAGTACTGCAGATAAGTAGATGCTGGAAGAAAATAAAATGAAAAACAGTGGAGTACATGCACGCATGCCTTCATTCACCTTGCCGAGCTTCTCCTTTCTGCTCCTCAATCCCCAGAGCAAGTTACAACTCTTAATGAATAAGCTGTCACTTTAAATTTCCAACTTCCAACTCTGGCCCCTTTCTAGCCCCTCTGTTATAACCTCTCCATGTGATAAATGATATTTGGGAGGGTAGTTGTAAGGAGTATAAAATTTTAACAAAAAAGAGCCCATCAAAAAACCGCCAATTTATAAATACTGATATACCAAATTACTTTGGATATCAAACCATAAAGGAGAGAATAGGTCATTTGCTAGATGATAGCCTAATGACAAAATAGCACTCAAAATCTATGAAGTAAAGAAGCAGTAGTTCCTAAGGACTGATATGCAAGTACAAAATTAGCAAGAAGAGAAAGTCTGAACTGTTTTGACTCATCTTCATGACACTGGAAGATTTCTGACTATAGATAGTGCCTGTATATTTTGAACCAAGAAGAGAAAAAAAAAATCTCCAGCCAGCCAACAAGTACTAATGATAAACATATGTAAGAAAATGTTAATGACAATAGAAATTTAATAGAATATTTTATTATGAACGCTTTCAGTGAACACTGTAGAGGCTTTTCTAAGCACAGCTTTTTGCTTTCATGTGAATTCATATGGGGAAATGTAATCAATCCCTTACTCAATGAATCTCATAACAGGTGAAAGGAAGTCTAATGGGCCACCGGCACTATAAACTTATACCTAACCTAAACTACTTCCTGTTCTCCCAAATACATTTGATAACCATTCTTTCATTTTTCTCATAAAACTGTAAGATTCTTTGTGAAACATAGGACTAATATCCACAGCCCTTTCAGTGTACAATAAAACAAACAGATCATAAAAGCAATCATAAAAATGCCAGCAATTTTAAGCAGCTGAGACAGGTTATAAATTTAAAGGCAAGCTCTCTCTCTCTCCTAACATTTTTCTGCCTCTTGTCGACTTAAATGGTTTCAACATGAACTGAGGATCAGCTAATTGTAACTGAAACTTGTGTGCAGTCCTTCCTTGTTCTTATAGCTTAAAATGCTAAAAAAATAATAATAAAATAAAAAATCAATTGACTGATTTAATAGGAAAGGCAGGAGGGAAAAATAAGGGCAGGCTGGCTACTCTCTGACTCTATCTCTTTAAATTGTAGTGTTATTGGCTTGACATGAAGTGAGATGTGAGTGTTTTTTATTCGAAGATTTTAACATACCATTACTTCATAATCGGGGCCCAACAGGTTTTCCCATCTGGATTTCAGCTCATTTTCTGGAAATTCAGGGGCTCTTTCTGGATTAAAAAAAAAAAAAGAATGTTGAAGCTACTATGAGCCAAACACACTTAACTACTTAATTCTTCCATAACAGCAGTTTCAGTAAGTAAAATGGAAATATATAAAATGAAATTGCATTAACTTAGGCCTACTAGGTAAAGTAAATCAGAGAGACCCTATAAGGCTAATGTAAAATGCAAAGACAGGTATGACCAAATTATGAAGGAACTTTTGTTGTTAAGGAATACTGACTGTAAAGGGAAGAGGAAATGATGAGTTATAAATGAAATTTGAATTACATACAGTTTATACGTAAACATCCCGCAGTTTACAAATAAAATGCATCTGGCTTTGCTTTATAATATGTCAGGACAAACAAGGATTTAATTTAAATGTTAATTACTTCAAAGCAGTACCTTCCACTCACCCACAGGAAAAGTAAAAACTTATCAAGCTATCATTACTATCAACTAGGCATATCGACACATTCCATTCAGACTCTTCACTTGGATGTATATAAAAGCATGCCTGGTTTTAATTCAACCACTAAGCACATGGGATTTAACATAATAGGAACTTTGGTTTTACTTTGTGACTTCGTTATATCTTTAAGATTTTCTTACTTGATGGTAATATTGCCTTTTTTGCATAGGTAAGATAATTTTAAAGGGCTAAGGCAGATTTTAAGTCTCCTACCTGTCTTCCATATAAGTTTAGCCTGAAGCTTAGTGCAGTTTATAGTCTAAATAATGCCTATTAGGCAAAAGTCAAAGTACTAAAACTATAATTTCAAATTATATCTAGAGTAGTAGCAGATAATAAACAAACCTCCACCTTTTTCCTTTCAGTTGAAGAAAAACTCTCTCAATTTTGTCACAAGATCAGATGGGTCATAGAACACCTACCATAACTGACAGAACCATCTGTCTAAAATCAAACATAATTTGCAATATCAGCTCTTTTAGTCCTCAGCAGGGACAGCTCATCTTGGATGCATAAAGCGCTTAATTATATAATAACTTAATTAATATGTTATATTTTAATATATAAAACTTAATTACATAATAGTTAAGCAAAATAGGCTAACCTCAGAGAAATCAGGGACTAAGACTAATGAACACTAAAGAATTTAAATTACTAGATTTACTAAAGAATATCCATGAAATAACTATATTTGGTTAGATTACATTTCAGGGATAACTAAACAAAGATCCTATTAAAAACAAAAAAATCATTCACGTGGGCTCTGCACCTTTGCACCTACTTCTGTTAACATTTCCATAAGAAGTTACATTAAGAATTCTACCATCCTGCCCGGCCGAGCGTGGCTCAGCAGTTGAGCATCGACCTAGGATCCAGGTGATTGGGGTTCGATTCCAGGTCAGAGCACATGCCCGGGTTGTGGGCTCGATCAATGACTCTCATCATTGATGTTTCTATCTCTCTCTCTCCCTCTCCTTTCCTCTCTCTGAAATCAATAAAGATATATTAAAAAAAAAAAAAAAAGAATTCTACCATCCTGCCTGTTAAACTTCTTCCAGGCAGCAGTTTCTTATCTGGTAAGCTAATTTGAACAAAATTTGCAATGCCTTACTTAAATTATAAGCTTAAAAAACATGATATTTGAAGATGATATTTCATACACATGTATGAAATAATGTTGCCATTTCCCCTTCAATTCTTTTAACTATATTTTACTTTTCAGTCATACAATGAAAGCACAGATAGTCGTGAGCTTTGAAGAACAGCACAAAATCTAAGTACTAGAGGAAAGAGATTCATTTATTTTCAGCAGCTCAATAAATCTTAGCATATACAAAATTATTAAAAAAATAAATAGGCCCTGGCCGGTGTGGCTCAGTTGGCTGAGCATCATCCTATGTACCAAGAGGTCGCTGGTTCGATTCCTCATTGGGGCACATGCCCAGGTTGCGGGGCTCAGTCCCCAGTACGGGTTATGCAGGAGGCAGCCGATGGATGTTTCACTCTCTCCCTTCCTCTAACAAAATTTAAAAAAACATTTTAAAAAATTAATAAATAGTATGATGATCTAAAATTATTATTTCAATGGCAATGAAGGGGAGCAGGATGTACCACCCCAAAATATGCCACTTCGGAATGTAGGTTATTTTGAGCTGAAGGCAATGAAGACCCAGCAGACTCAGAAAAAAGTTTTACCTCTCCCTTAACTACCTATAAGAATTTAGACAAGGGGCCTGGCCCAGAGGAGCTATTACCAGAAACAACTTATTTATCTGAAAGATCTACCTGCATGCAGGGCAAACTTTTAATTACCAAGCATCTGCCCTTCTTAAGGTCCTGTGAATTATCCTTTGAAGCCCAGGCCCCTATCCCATCCCTTAGCTCAGAATGGCATATAAGCCTCAACTGCCCAATTTGCCCTTGGGTCTCATATTTTTATGGGGCTCCCATACATATGAAATTTTCTCCTGCTAATCTGTCTTATGTAGATTTAATTATTTGCTCAGCTAAACAACCTAGAAGGGAAAAAGAAAAAAGTTTTTCACGTCTACAGCAAAAAAGAAGGCTGACCTCATAGCTGTTGGAATACTTGGGTCTTATTCTCGAGTTGAAGTTATACATACCCATGAAGAAAAATATAGTAAGATGGATCCAAAAAGAGAAGAGAAAATATTTCTAAAAGTATTTTAACTTCAGAATGAATTTGATATTCACCTTATAGTTCACTGAAAATCTATCTGGGTTCACTTGAATTTAAACAGCAAATACCAACTGCAATTTACTTGGGTCAAAAAAACAAGTTAAATTTCCAAATCAGAGGAAAATGTTTAACCCAAATGAAGGGTTACTCCTTCCTTTAGGCCATTATTTCCTGTGAGAAGACAATCAAAGCCAAAATTTTTCTACAACATGAATGGTGCTAACTATTCCATTTCATTCAACTGACCAGGCTTTCCTGAGCACCTTTGTGCAGGAGATTGTGTGGACTGTTACTCAATATGCTTGCAGAACAGAGTCACCTATAGTAGCTGAGGTATCAAAGTACAAAGTAAAAGAACAAAGTTGCATATCAGTTAAAGAGGAAAATAAAAGACAAATATATAGCTACCAGGCAATTTGATGAGACATGAAAAAATGTATACATTATTAATTTTTATGGTGAAAAAGAAATACTGCTATACATACATGGATAGCTATGCATCTATAACTATATCAGTAATATACAAGATAAAGTATGCAGTAATTTAAAATGCTGACAAGATTAAAAACAGTCAATACATACTAATAAAAAGGCATTCAAAATTAAGATAATCAAAGGTTAAACAAAAATATGCTTGGTCCCTAACTGCCACAAATGTTAAGATGTTAATATTAATAATACCCTATTTCATACCACCAAAATGCTTCTAAAACTCCTCACATATTAACCATAAAAAAGAGAAAGTGGTTAACAAATGAGAAAGTCAAATTACTTTGCTTTGAATTGAATGCTTTCTGCCCACCTGGTTTTTCTAAGGCTTGTAGGTTGTCATTTTTTAGATCATCCATTCTTTCTTCAGTTTCCTCATCTTCACCATCCAAATTAGTTTCCGTTTCCACTGCTCCAGTTAGAAAGAGGGCTGGTGGTTTTGGTGGTTCTACAACAGTTTCTAAAATAAGAATTGCACATTTGAATCACTAGGAGATAAAGGCCATACTTCAGTGAGCCTAGTCCACTCCTGTTTCACCACCTCATTACAAACAGCTCAGGTAACTTACAAATATTCCTTTATTTAAAATTTCATGTGTGATAACCAATCAATTCCTTAAAAAATAAATATGTTGGTAGCATTCAAAGAATAAGGAACTAGGCAGTGGGAAGAGAAAAGCAAGGTAAAGTCAAAGACAAAGCAGGAGTAGATGCTTTTCAATATGGCCTTGGAAAAGAAAACGAGCTGCTATTGTGGTGGGTAGAGAACAAGACCTGCAGAATAAGCTGGTCCCATTGTCCTGGGCTCTCCTAGTTTCTGGAATGACATCATCATGAGTATCACAAACAATCTACAGAGGTGACCTTATGAACTGGAGGGGAATTAGAGAGCATTCCCCTGGTTGCAGTGGTTCCTCCCTTAGCTAAGAACAGTCATAGGGTATCTAAAGGGTGATAAATGCTATAATAGAGTGCTCTTCAAAGGGTGCTAGTGAAACACACAGGAAGGACACCCAAACTATGGAGGAAGAGGTGCAGATTTAGAGTCAAATTTATCCCAGGACAAATTTAAAATGTAAGCCTGTCCAGTAAAGAATTGCTTATTCGCAAATGACATACTCCATTTGATATAGCGGACTGAAGCCAAGGGCTCTATCAGAGCTATTAAAACTATTATATTGATATAAATATTTATGTAAACCTTTTAAGGCCAATATAGCATTTGTACAATTTGTACTATTTAGGCAATATTAAATTTCATACATACAATGCAGTTGACAGGGCATCTGTCTTTCAGCAGCAAAATTTCCATTATCGCATAAAACTTAAAAAGTTCCAATTAAATACAAATCAATATCAGTTGAAAGCAACAGCTTCTAGGCTTATTATATCTTCAGAGGAAGGGGAAAAAAAACTATCCCTCTCCTGATAAATTCTAATAGAATTATTTTTTTCTCAGTAATTATATAACTAGTCATTCATTTTTAATTAAATATGTAGAATTCAAGATTGTAGAATTTTGTTAATCTATACATTTATAAACTGATAATTAAAAATCGACATGCATACAATTATGTTTTTGTTCCATAATGAAAATTTACTACTGATATAATCAAAAGAACAAATATTATTCTACAAATGAAAGTGTTCTTGAGAGAAATTCACGTTTTATTTTCTCTTGCTATATTTCAAAAGGTAAATCATGAGACATTAGAATCAAATATATCACTGGAAGTAAAATGAAACCTGAATTTTGCAAAATGTCAAAGCATTAGAATGAACGAAGGCTCCTGAACAGTGTCAAAGCTTTATTATTCAAATGTAAGTAACAAATGAAATTTGGAAGCTTTCTGGGAAAATGATTTCCATCTTCATTTAGAGAAGCTCTTAGAGCTTAATGCGAGTCAGGGATCATGTTCTAACATTTGGACTGGCACCTGATAACAGGCAAAGGGAGCTCTTCAGTGCACAAATGAGCTGATTCATTTCTCCATCATTGCATTATACACAAGGTGGGCAGTTTTTCCTTCCCAGGCTCACAGAGCAACCTCCATCAATGAGCTATTCTTCCAACCCAGACTACAGGGTGGGGAGAGGGGCAGTGGACTCCATCACCTGTGTCTGAAGGCTGTTCAACAAGCGGAGGCTGCTCAACAACTGGAGAAGCTGGTGAGGATGTCTTCCTTCGAACTAGGGTTAGATGTACCACCTGTCCTGCATTTCGTAATACTTCAACAACATCCTGGTTGGCAAAACCCTGAATATTCACACCATCGACCTGAAACACATTAAAGAGGTTTCAAGTTAGCTACTATTCTAAATTCTGGCAAGGCAGAATCAAAATAGGGAATCCTTTTTTTTTTTTTTTTTTTGGTTAATCCAATATAACCCGAGGATATTCTTTTCACTGATTTTTTTTTTTAGAGAGAACAGAAGGGAGGGGGAGAGACTGAGAGAGAGAAATATCAATGTGAGAGAGACACATGGATTGGTTGCCTCCCATTCGCGCCCCGACTGGGCCAGGGATCGAGTCTTCAACCAAGGTACAAGCCCTTGACCAGAATCAAACTGGGGCCTTTCAGTCCAAGGACCAACACTCTAACTACTGAGCAAAACCCTCAAGGGCAGACAATTCATTTTATTCCAAAAATAATTTGTATTAGACCTAAAAAAGTATTTAAATAAGGATGCAAGATTAGTAGTAAAATATGCTGATAAACTTCCTGAAACACTAGAAAGCAAATTCAAACTTGTACACCTAGGTCACACATTTTAACTTACAGCCTAAGGGGTAAAGGGTCTAATTTTCTGATGCTATTCAAACTTCCAAGTGTCATAAAAGTGTTCAGATGAATTAGGTAGCAGGTATTTATCTGCAAAAATATGTAACCAGTTAGGAATTTTTTTTGTTTTATGAAACTATAAAAAGATGACGCCTGTCAGAAATGGTATCATGTGATGGTTTAAAGCATAGGATTTGAGGCTGAGAGCCTCGTATTGGAATGCCAATTCCAGCAGTGTACGATTAACATAGATATATATCTGAGTTTCGACTTCTTTTCTCTGAAATATGGGTGTAACTTCTACTTTCCATGGTTGTATGAGACTGCATGTAAAAAATGGTGAATAAATAATAGCTATTATTAATATATATATTTGTATATATTATTTTTTCCTACCAATATGGTTACTGACTCCTTTCTTCACAGACAGTAAAAAAAAAACAAACAAACAAAAAACAAATTAGGACCACAAGAGTCCAAATTAATGAGGTTTCACTGTACTAACAAACTTATTTTTAAAAAATATTATGAGACTATATTGAGCCATTCCCCTCTCACACATATTATAATAAAGATAACTTGTCCCTCCCAACTTGATTCAATTCTAAAACAGAGGAAGTTACTTACAGCAACTATTTTGTCATTCACTTGAATCTGTCCACTGTGGTAAGCAGCACTCCCAGGTATTATACTTTTCACATAAATCCCCGAAGCTTCCCCTAAGGTGCACATAATGTGGAAAAAGGAAGAAAGCTCTAATTAGGCCTTGATTGCAAAATTCATATCAAGAGGCTAATTAGCTAAAGGGGCTGACTGAAGGCTGATAAGTACTATTTTGAACACAAGCAGAAAAACTGATGGATTATTTCAAACTGTCACCATTACAAGTGACATGAATTTGAAATGATTTGACTGATGACTATTTCTAGAAACATAATAGTAATGGAACCATGATGAAATTCACTCCGATATAAGCTGGAATTCAAAGAGCCCAGGTTAAGTCTTACCCTCTTCTCGTGGTCTAGCCCCCTTCTCACTGTTGACTTGGCACAGCCATCATCATTTTTCACCTGTGCTATGACTACGACAAGAGTCTCCTAATAGGTCTTCCTGACTATATGCACTTGACTATTCCCCAAACACAGTCTTTAAAAACTAGAAAAATCTCAGCAACATAAAATAATCCTCATACGGATTATAATATAAAACATTTAAACAGGAAAAATGGGTATATAAAAATTACAGCTATGTAAAAAATATGCATGCCTATGGGCAAGGACTTGAAGGGAAATTGGAAAATGAGAAACCATAGTCCTGGAGGATTTTATATTTTTATTTTTAAATATCAAATGAATTTAAAATATTGTCTGCAGAACAAAAATAAACGCAATGGATTTCCATCACCTATATAACAAAAAGTAAACTTCATAGAAACATATTCAAGGACCTCCATAATCTGCCCAAAACTACTTTTTTTTTTTCTTTTACCTTATTTTACTTCATCCTTCCAAGAAGACAAAACTCCAGACACACAAGACTCTTGATATTCCACCAAAACACCAAGTATTTTCTCAATTTTAGGCCTTTCCTCATTTCATTTTTTCCTTCTTCCCAACCTCCCCGCTTGTATCAAATCTTTCTCCTTTCCCATGCCCAGCACAAATGCTTTTCTTTGTCAATTTTCCATTGCCCTCTATCCAACTGATTCTTTCATCCACCATGATAGTTTGCTTGCACTTCTGCTAAAACATGCATTTCATTTATCATTGAACAATTGAGAGTTATGTACATGTTTGTCTCCCTGAATAGACTTTTATGTTCATCATTCTAACTTTTCCAGAATTAAGCAAAGTTAACTGCTCAAAAGTTTCAATGAATGGAAGAAAGAGAATTATTTTGAAAGACTACATGTTAAAAATCATGTTGAGATTTAAAATATTCTCATTTTTGCATTCACCATGGCCTACCTCCCTCCAATCCCAAAAATGGTTCTTTTCTTTATACAGTAACATAAACATTAAATTTTGTCGATTTTCTATCAGTTACTCACTTTCATTTTATGCTGCATGTATATTGTGAGGTTTACAAGAACACCATGAAAACTTCATATAATAAAGGTTCATAAGCCAAAAGTTTAGAAATTAAGCCATGATTTCTCTAATCAGACAGTACACTGATAGGTACTGATTATACATATATATACATATATATAAAAAACATATATATACTTGGCAACATTATTATACAAGCCATAGTTAGTTCTTTTGGAATTCATTTAAATTCTGAACCTAAAAATGTGGCACTTAGGAAAAGCTAAAATTTTGAAAATAGTTATTTCATTAGGCTAAAATAGCACAAGGTGGTCTGACATGAATTTCATTTAGGACTTTGAATACATTAGCACTTTTAATCTTTCCACCTGCTCTAAGTATACAAAACAATATTTTTAAAAAAATTAACTCTCTAATCTTGCTAGTTTTTAAAAAACTAGAACATTTCGTAACTGAATTTTCATTTTACTAGCAAATATCTGTGAAAAGTTTATCTTTCCTTACTCTAATAATTTTCTTATAATAATACAGTAATTCTTACACCGAAAGTTACCAAAGCTTTGCATGTAGGAGTTGAGGGAGTGTTATTATTATTCAGAGATACTTGAGCCATGTATTTGTTTTTGTTGTTTTTTTAATTTTTATTTATTGATTTTTAGAGAGAGAGAGAAACGTTGTTCCACCCATCCATGCATTCATTAGTTGACTCTTCTATGTGCTCCAATGGAGATCAAACCCAAAGCCTTGGTGTACTGGGATGATATCTAACCAATCAAGCTACCGGGCTAGGGCCATGTATTTAGTCTTACAATGCATTCCCTTATTAAAGTATTTGTTTTATCTTATTTTTGGTAATTAAACATAATAGTAATACTTTTTGACATTCATAATATGAAATATATGCAGTAATCATTTTACTTTATCACATGTAAAATGTCATAATATGTAAGATTCACACTACTCAAAATATATTTTAGAAATAAGAAAAGGTATGATTCAAATGTTATACACGGAGTTGGATAATTAAATTATGTTGTTAATGACTATCAAATCAACTATAAAACCACTGAGATAAAACTGTGTGATATTTTGATTTATAAGGTACTGGGTCTCTATCCACAGTTATGGGTGAAGGTGGAGTTCTTGTGATGTCTCAAGGAAAAGAATTTTCCGAGACTCACACAGCTAGGTGGGTAACATTTATTGGGGCAGAAATAAACCCCTGGGTTTCCAATGTCCTATTCCCCTCTATCCCACCATGGAAAAAGCCCAACCATGTCTTCAGCAGGGCCAGAATAAAGGCCACTGCCCACAGTTTCTGCTCCATATTAAAGTACAGTACAGTCCAGCATCCTGCATGTGGAGTCCACATGGGCATGGGCCATGCAGCTGCTAAGACCACATGGCTATGGTGAGAGAACACGTGAATACACAGATGCATGCCGGTCACGAAGCAAGAGAGAACCAGAAAAAGGTAACTCTTTGTCTGGGGATTTTAACCAGGAGCTTCTCCAAACTAACCAATTAACTTTCCAAGATTTTAGGCACTTTTGATGGGGTCCAGGCCCTGGCCAATCCATTGCTCCCCAGGCTAGCCTAAGGATGGGGGCTGGTTACAAACCCTGTGATCAGAGGTGGGGAACATTCAATCCCAAACTAAAAGGGGAAAGGAGCTGAAGATGAGTTCAATCACCATTGGCCAATGACTTCTTCAATCCTGACTATATAATGAAACCTCCATAAAAACCCAGAAGGGCAGCTCTGTTGGTTCTTTTTCAAGGAGTTTTCCCACTGCGGAAAAAGAACACTTCCGGGTGCAACCATGCTGGGCCCCAAGCTCCACAAGGAAAGAGGCTCCTTCTTTCAGAACCTCACCCTGTGTATTTTTTCATCTGACTTTTGATTCATATGGTTTAATAACCTTGGTAATAAATCGGTCATCTAGTGAATAAACAGGTTTTCTGAGTTTGTGAGCCATTCTAACTAATTAATCAAACCCGAAGAGGGGGTCATGGAAACCTTTGATTTATAGCTGGCCAGGTCAGAAGTACAAGTAACAGCCTAGGTTTGCAACTGGCATCTGAAATAGAGTGCAGTCTTGTGAGACTGAGCCCATTACTTGTGGAATCTGATTCTATCTCTGGGAAGCTAGTGCCAAAACTGAGTTGAATTCTCAGACACCCTGCTGGTATCCGAGAATTGCTTGTTGGAATTGGGTCTGGGAACCCTTTTCAAACTGTGATTCTCTAATTACTGAAAAGTAACTGGTTGCTATTAGAGATTCATTGTTTTGAGACAGGTTGGTAAGAAGCTAGGAAAATTCCTTGACAAGTGGAACGGGGAAACAGAGAGATAGCTGAATAAACTGGATGAGCAATTTACAGCCAAAAGGTCACCAGGGAGGAAAGCTCCCAGTGCCTAGCAACAGGCAACACTGGTGCCAGACCTCACCCCCAGGGCGCCCTTTCCTCCCCTGGCATATTGCTGGTCATGCAGTTTGGACCCACCCCTGACCTTTCCTCCCTAGAGATAACACCTAGGCCTTGGTGGTATTTCAGCTCCAGGCCCAGAAAAGCAGCAAAACCATGCAGGTGATGCCAAGACCTACTGCAATGATTAATGATCCCCTGGTGCTGACCAATCAGTGGAGACCACACATGGAAAGGGCACACATGGAAAAACTGATGAATATTCTGAGATCTCCCCTAAAATCCCCACCTTCGGAAAACGGATAAAAACCCCTCAAGACAAAGAAGCCAGCTCGAGCCCTCCTTGGGGCACGCCTACTTGAAACTCCTTTTCTAGTGAATTTTATCTTTCTTCTCAACTTCAAGAGTCCCCTGAAGATTTGCAACTAGGGGAGCAATGGGTAGCAGCAGCTCATCCCAGGCTAAGTCCCTGAACCTGTCTCCAAGGCCCCCTTTTCTCTGACTCTCCGGTGAGCTGACAGAAGCCCTGCCTTGGTTCACTGCCTTGGCCCACTTTTTTCCTATAACATTTCTATAGAGCCAAAGCAGCCTGGCCTAGGCTCTCTCTTGTTGCTTCTTCTATCCTAAGCCTTCCTTTTTCCACTGTCCCCAGCTTTAATAAATGTACTCTCAAATCACCTGGAATCATATTGTGAAATCTTTCCTGTACAAAGTCAAGAATCCACACACTACAGGCAGGACTGAGGCGGACCCACTCCTGGCCCGGTTCTTGTCTGGTAACATTTTTATTATTAAATGTTTAAATTAAAATCTGAAGATATTTAATTTCACTGTCTACAAACCTTAACACCTTTACAACTATTTCCAAATATAAAATAGTAATGATTCATTTACCTGTATGAGCAGTTCCAACATAGCCAACAATTCTAATCCCAAGACTCTGTCCATCTTTTTTGATGAGTTCAACATTGTAAGTTTCATAAAGAGTAGAATTTTCCTAAAAAAGAAAAATAATTTAAATTATACATATTTTTTAGTCACTTAACTGTGTGTACATAGTATATTTGTGCATGGTTTGTCAAGTATTTTCTTAGCACCTATGGTAGGCAGAATGTTAAGATGGTCCCAACTTTTGATCTCTGGTGCTATTTCCGTGTTTGTCAGATTACACGCAAAAAGGAGATTACCCAGGTGAGCCTAATCTAATCAAGCACCCTTCAAAGGCAGAGTTTTCTTCTGTTGGTGCAGAAAGGAAGTGAAAAAGATCTGAAGTATAAGGACTGGACTTGTGGTTTGAAGATGGAGTGGATCACATGAGAAGGAATACAGGGGGCCTTATGGAGCTGAAAGATGTCCTTAGCTAACAGCCAGTAAAGATTGAGACTTCAGTCCTACAACTGCATAGAACTGTATTGTGTCAACAACCTAAATGAGTTTGGAAATGGTTTGTCCAGAGTATCCAAATTTAGAGCCCAGCCAGGCTACACCTTGATTTTGGCCTTGTTAGAATCTAAGGAGCCCGGCTGGGAGTGGCTCAGCAGTTGAGCATCGACCTAGGATCCAGGCGAATGCGTTCGATTCCCGGTCAGGGCACATGCCTGGGTTGCAGGCTCAATCAATGACTCTCTCATCATTGATGTTTCTATCTCTCTCTCTCCCTCTCTTTTCCTCTCTCTGAAATCAATAAAGATATATTAAAAAAAAAAAAAAAAAAAAAAAAAGAATCTAGGGAGACAGCCCCACCAACTCCACCCAGACTTCTGACCTACAGAACTGTGAACTAACAAAGGGTACTGTTTCAAGCCAGTTTACGGGTGAGTAGCTGAGGCTCAGAGGTACAGCAAAAAAGAAAATCAAACTTGTGTAATGTCTCCAAATTAGGTTCCTCTGCTGCTTCACTGGTGGCATTGAGATACTACTCACACCAGTGTGGCATTTCAAGTTGAAGGGGTTTCTAATCTTACAGTGTATCACATCCAATAATTTGGGTGTGAAAGAATCATTTGTATACTCACAGAACTTGGGCTCCTGAAAGGCACAGCAGGCAGGGCAACAGGTAAGGCCATAGGGGTTGGAGGGGTTACAGAAATTTCACCAATTGGGTCTCTTGCAACCAGCATCCTGACTGAATTCCCACAGTTCCTCAGCACTTGTGCAACTTGCTCACTGGTCATTCCCTGCACATTTGTGCCACCAATCTTCAAGATGTGATCCCCTGTCTGGAGTCTTCCATCCTTTAATCCAAGGAAGAAAATGCAAAATTATTCTGAGAAATCAATGATCTAATTTCACTAGTTAATTAACAATTCATCAGACTTTGAGTTGTGGCAAAATGACTGGCAAAGAAGCCATCTAAAAATGCCGAATAAAATATAATATTTTAAATGAAAGGTTGAATTGGCAACAGAGAAAAGGAAATTCTTACCCAAAAAAATGGGGCGGGGGTGGGGAGAGGGCAGGGGAGAGTTCAAAAGGAGAAGCATAACCAGAATTCTAAAGCAGGCATTTGCTTGAGGGTATCACTTCATGCCTAAGGGCCTAGAGCGAGGGTAGTAATGGTCACATATGTAAGGAAGAGGTCAGAAAACCCTGGGCATCAAGAAGGGAAGGTCAGATGAGAAGCCTCCAGCATAAAGGTAGAAACTCTAAAGGCCAACAGCTCAGTGGCACATTTGAGGAACAGCAGATGTCAGTGTGGCTGGAAAAGAATGATCAGAGGACAGTACTCAAAGAAAAGGTGAGAGCACTGGCAGGGTCAGCAGTACAGGGCATCTGCTCCAAGTGAGTAGGGAGAGAAGTCACTGGACTGTTTTGAGCAGGGGAGTAACATTATCTCACTTAGTTTTAACAAGATCACTCCAGCCTCTGTGCTGAAAATAAAACTATAGGAGAGGAAACTGTAGAAACAGAGATACCAGTTAGTGAAGCAATTATCTAGAAAGAGATAACAAGAGCTTGGACAAGGTTAGCAGCTGGAGTGTTGAGAAGTGAGATTCTAGATGTAGTTTTAATGAATTGTCAACAGGCTCTCCTGAACTTGTTGTAGGGTGTGAGGGGGAAAAGGAATCAAAACTCCAAGTTTTCAGCCTAAGCAACTGAAAAGATATGGTTGCTATTAACTAAGATAAAGAACCCTAGAGAGGAATAGATGGGTGGGAAAAGAAATCAGGAGTTCAGTTTTAGAGAGTTCCAGTCTGAGATGCCTATTACACATGTAAATGGAGATATCAGATATGCAGCTGGATAGACAAATCTGGAGTTCAGGAGAGAAACTGAGATTACATATTTAAGTTTGGGAGCATAAGCATATAGAAGGTACTTAAAGTTACGATTCTAGATGAGTTTAAAGAAAATTTATGTAATGTCCTATTTCCTAAGCTGGTGATATGTATATGGGTGATTTTACTATTATCATTGTTATTATTTAAAATATTCTTTTTTCTTTTTTTAAGAGTTTAAAGTGAAAGTAAGTTTATTGTGAAGCAGCGAGACAAAGAATGTGCTAACTCCACAGACAGAGCAGCTTAAAATGTTCTGTTTCTTAAACTGGGTAATATGTACATTGGTGATTATTATTATTTAAAATGTGCATAGATATTACATATACTTATATATGTATGCATATTTCATACACAAAAAAGTTTAAAGCTTAATTTATCAAAAATATATCAGTTTAAATTGTTTATCATCCCATCCTACCTTTATTTGTGCAATTTTTGAAACAGCTTATCTATCTGCATTTTCACTAAATTGTTTCGTCAGAAACTCTGAATTCTCTTTACTTATCTCTTTACAATATAGTAAAGTTACCAAAATGCAAACATAGCAGGTTACAAAATATTACACCTGCCAAACACTTTAGAGGTTAAAAATCACTTTCCATGTATCATCTCATTCAGGTTGGACAACTTTAAAATGAGAAAACTAAGATTCAAAAAGGTTGACTGACTAGACCAAAGTCACAAAACTAATAAGTAGCAGAACTACAGTTCAACACTGAAGACGTGTTCTCATTCAGTCATCTGTCTTATACTTGATATTTCCAGAGTAATATTAGTAGGTAGTAAATCTCCTATTCTGTAAGAAATTGCCCATCACTGTCAAAAAGCTTAAATAAAATAAAGATGAAAAATACATATTTTGCAACTGAGAGAAGACAGCCTGAGAATAGAACAATGATCCCTGGGCTAGTACAGTTCTAAGTTTCATATTCCTGGCTCCAGGAGGTACCATCTATAAGATGTAGATGAAATTCAGGGGGAAAAAAGTTTTTAAAAAAATTCTTAGGATTACAAAGTCTATTTCCATCCTTGCTTTTCTCCAATTTTGCAGAAACCTGGATAAAGAAAGGGAGGTGTTAAATCAAAATAATGAGTAAAAAGCTATGTTGTGAACTCGAAGGAAGGAGCTAGAAGTGACTGGAAGTAGAAGGGAGCAGGGAAACAGAAATGCAACACAATTCAGAAACATGTGGAAAGACTCAGAGAAAATAAATAGATGCAAGGGGGAAATTATTATGGAAAAGGGGATAAAGAATTGCTGGATTTCTACTTTAAGCACTAACTTGATATTCTATTATTACCAATGCAACAAACTTGAAATAAAACAACTACTTAAGAAAAAGTCAGTGGTCATGATGAAAAATAAGGGTAAAACCACTTCTGTGAATCAAACCACCTTTGCACAGAATCATAGCCTGATCAAGGAGCAAAACATATGTCAAATAAGTGTTTTCATACTTGGCTTGGCCAAAGAAGGGCATTTCATCATAAGTACATATTTAGTAACTTCCTAGGCACTATTTGTTTTTCCTATTTTACCTCAACTCAATTTAAAATGAGGTAGATAATTTGCATCTGTCACTGAAAGTCAAACATTTTCTTCTTCCAGAAAAACAGGTGTTCTGGGGAATTCATAAGTGTAAAAACAATCATTAGTCAGATTGATATGAAAGACAGCAAAATGACAGCTACCTCGTTCATGTCCAGCAGCCCCAAACATTGCATTTTACAGATATTTTCTGATCAACATTCTCCTTCCATAACCTGCCTACTGTGCAAGGAAACTAAAAGCCATTAGAGTCCTTTTTTTTTTTTTAACAGAAGTCATAAATCAGTGATAACCAGTAAAGTGCTATGCCAAGGTTCAAAGACACTGTGTGCTAATCAAACATCCAAAAATAAAATTTATTAACCTATAGATTTTTTTCAAAAGAGAAAAAACATTATGCATTTAGACAGAGACCGTATGAAAGGCAGAAAAATTAAAATAGCTGATGTAACAGGGTACCACACTATTATTACAGTGAAAGCACTAACATACCACTTAAGTTTAAAAAAAATTTAAAAATATTTTAACCCAAGTTAGCAGTTATTGGCAAAAAATATATGTAATATATTACTTTGCATTTTAAGTTCTTTGGCTGTTGTGGATGATAATTTCAATTCAAAAAATATTTGAGAACCTAAAGGAATTCAGGCCTTAGCTACAAAAGAAATAAAGAAATCAAATTTATTTCTTCAAAAACTAAAAATAGCACCAAATACTTCCACAACTCAGAAAATAAAATCATTACTGCTTTTGATTCAACACTGCTTCTATCATTGGTCTTTAATCAGAAAATAGAGACTTTATGAAATAAACTAACACTCTTTCCCCAAGGAGTTAAAAGAAGGTACTAAATCTAAGTCTATCTTTCCTATCCTAGTCAAATTCCCAGAGGCCTCATCCACTGATTTTTAAAGATAAGGAAAATATCTGTTTATAGACGCACTCAAAGCAAAATTGCTTGGGAATAACCAGCTGCTCAGTGGCCTCGAGCTGGCCTTTGCTCCTTCTAGACTGAAAATTCCTCATAGTCCACACACTCATGCCCCAAGTCCTTGTTAAGTTCCATTCCTTTCTTATATTAAAGATTATTGGATAGTTATTATAACTCATATTATAATTGCCTCATACCAAAGAGTCAATAATTCATGACAACCTTTAAATAGGCTGAGTTGTAACAGTCCCCTACTGGAGACAATGGGGTAGGCACAGTGTATTTGCCTAGAATTACTCTAGACACATGAAAGAGATTTCTGCAAAACAAAGTTGTTTCACACTGCCCATTACTTTCTTTTTAATATATATATCTTTATTGGTTTCAGAGAGAGGAAAAGAGAGGGAGAGAGACAGAAACATCAATGATGAGAGAGTCATTGATGGAGCCCACAACCCAGGCATGTGCCCCGACCGGAAATCAAACCCCAATCGCCTGGATCCCAGGTCAACGCTCAACCGCTGAACCACGCCCAGCCAGGCAAAATTTTTAAATTTTTGCCATAAACTGAGGAGAATTCTCAAAAGTTATATGCTTCAGGTACTGTGAAAGTATCTCAGGATTACAGGTATTTGTTAGGTCTTTCCGCTCCTCTTACATGATACCATATAATACCCTTACCCATGGAATTGGCCCTGATTACATTTATTGACTGGTCATTGTAGCTAGATCCCAATAAATGTTTCTAAAAAGCTCATATGATTCAATATTTTTCCATTTCATTTACTTTATAATATTCAAGGCAGAAGACAGAAGGACGAGTATGGGCTTTGGAGTCAGACAACCCAACTTCAATCCTGGCTCTACTTTGATCAAGCTATATGGCCAAAGGTCAATTACTCATCCTACCTAAATCTCAGCTCCCTCTTAAACAAAATGGGAATTCCTTTCTCACTGAGTTGTGAGCATTAAACTCAATATTATGTATAAAATCTTTAACCTAGAACCTTGCTTACAGCAAAGCAAGTCCTCAAATGCATCCATTTCTGATGCCTCTCTAGGCTGCAGTGACCTCAGTTAAGTGTTCTTTGCTGCATCCCTCAGCTCTACCCCATCATTTAACTATACATATTGACTTATCTGTACACAAAAGGAAATACAAGGGGCTAATTTATGAAACCCTTTTAAATAAGAAATACTGACTTCTTTTTCTAACTTTCTATTATACAACTTTATATTCTTTTAAGAAAGTAGTATTCATTAACCACTTTGGCAGATTGTAGGTATCACTTTAAGATCAATCTTGATCACATCTGAACTAATGGCCCAAGACATCCATATTCCCTTACCATGAAGGTTGCCACAGTCAACAGTGAGCATTAATATTTAAAATATTGAATATTAAAATGTACATATTCAGTACATTTTAATTAAAAGCAATATTTGCTTTAATTTTTTTAAAGCTCTGATCAGGTTACATGAGCAACAACTTGTCAAGACTCAGCAACAATACAGAGACAGCTGAAGAGATTCTACCTGCCATTAGCTGAGATGAGGGGAAAAGAGAAGAGAATGCTGCTCTGTTTGAGTATCACCATAGTCCCTACAGGAAAGAGTCAATACCTCTGTTGCTCCTAGAGCTGACTATATTCCCTGATAATAGACAGGTTTTACCAACCCTGGACAGGTGCACATCAGGAAAAAAAAAATATTAGGGCCAACTTTAAATAAATAGATTTAAGAAGTAAAACACAGGCTTCACAGTCAAAGAGCTGTGGGCTCAATCCTGACTTTGTCACTTCCCAGTTATGTAGCCTTGGGCGATATATTAAGTTCCATATCTATAATTTGGGAATAAGATTTATGACTGTTTTAAGAACTATATGAGAATAATGTATATAGGCAGGTAACAAAGTCTGGCATAAACACTTGCTTCTCCATTATGACTGACGGGTACATCCCTACCTCCTCCTTGATGACCTGAAATAGTGACAACCCCTTCCAGTAAGGGTGAAAAATCAGGCCTGGGCTTTTCCCAACAGTGTCTCAAAGGGATTAATTTGGGAAACTCTGCACAACATATTCTCCTTGTGAAAATTCATAACATACATTAAGATATTAAAAGCTCAGAAAATTCTTACAGTAGGGAAACCTATTTGATTTTAACTTGGTGTTTTCTAAACCTATTTGACCCTTTGTTTTCCATAATAACTATTCCACTTTGCATCTTGGAAAACGGTGCTCCAGCAACCAAGTCTATTAAAATGGCAAAGAGGGAGGGGACAATGTGGGAAAAGATATCAAAATACTCCACAATTCTCATCCCTTTCCAGGTTACAAAAAATTTCAAAAAATCCTCAAAGGTTACTATTTGTTTTGTGCCACAGATGTGTTTTGAAGACCCATAAAATGACCACTTGCAGCCTTTTTGATCTCAGACTTTTTCTACACTCTTAAGAACTATTGAGGATGGAGAAATAGGGATTACCAAGGGGCACAGGAAACTTCTGTGGGTGACTGATATGTTCATTATCTTGACTGCAATGACAGATGGCATGACGGTTACATTTTATGTCACCCTGGCTAGGCCATGGTGCCCAGCTGCTGGTCAAACACTAGTCTGGATGTTACTGTGAAAGTATTTTGTGAATGTGATTAACATCTACAGTCAGTTGACTTTAGGTGAAGGATATCACTCTTGATAATGTGAGTGGGTGCCATATAATAAGTTAAAGATTTTAAGACCCAGCACTGAGGTTTCCTGGACAAGAAATTCCTCCTTAAGACTGTAACAGAAATCTTGCTAACCTCCCTACAAATGTCAAAGTTCAGGCTGCAACAGCAAATCTTGCCTGAGCTTCCAGCCTCTTGGCCTGACATATGGATTTCAGACTTGCCAGTATACATATGTCAAAATTTATTAAATTGTATATTTTATATATGTGCAATTTATTACATATCAATTATACCTCAAATATTACTCAGAAACTCAAAGAGCTTTTTGATATCTCTCTTTTGATATCTCTGTTGATATCTACTGAATTAGAAAGTAGTGCTGTGAAATTTTTAAAATATTTAATATGTTAATATATATTTACGATATTGGTGTATATGTTTTTTATTCTTACAAGAGTTATAAAAATAGTGAGAAGAGTGGTATTTTAAATTACTTTTGCAAATCTCTTTAATGTCTGGCTTAAAAGAAGACAGCTGGATTTTCATATCTGCTTCAACATTCAATATGTTTTAATATGCTGGTCTGAAGAATATAAGAAAAAAATCTGGCTACAATCAGGTATATAGTTAAAAAATTGAGAAGTATTTTAATAGCCTTTTCAACCCATTCTTCTTTGGTAACACATCAAAATTTGACAAGTGGAGGTTTCTTTTTTTTTTTTAAATCCTCACCCGAGGATATTTTTTCCACTGCTTTTCAGAGAGAGTGGAAGGGAGAGAGAGAAACATTGATGTGAGAGAGACACATTGATTGGCTGCCTCCCGCAAGCACCTCAACTGTGGCCAGGGATTGACCCTGCAACCAAGGTATGTGCACTTGGCCAGAATCAAACCCAGGACCCTTCAGTCCCGGGGCCAATGCTCTAACCACTGAGCAAAACCAGCTAGGGCTAGTGGAGGGTGTTTGAAGAACAGTAGCAACATGGAATCAGAAACTACATCCAAAAAAATAAAACTTTCAGACACAATTAAAATCTATTGACCTATCTTAAATGGATCTTTTACCTATATATTATTTTGTCATAACACACACTGGTCTTCAGAAAATATTGATTCACAGAGCTATGAAGATCTTCCAAATAGTGACATATTTCATTACACAATATAAAAAACATTATTATCACCAAAGATCTAATGAGAAGTCTTTAAATATTTAAAAAAATTAAAGCTCACAGTAAAGCACAAATTTTCCAAAATTCTAATTCTCACTTGAAAGTTCAAATTTTGTCATCATTAACAAATGCTGTCAGTTGTTTTCAAGAAAATGTCTGCCAAATACCCAAATGTGATTAATCATAATTTTTCTGTCAGATATTCTTTCAAAAATAAAAATGCTGTTCCAGGATGGTTCCCAGAGGCAGGAGGTCAGGGGGGTAGACAAAAATGGGTGAAGGGGGTCAAACTGTACAAATTTCCAGCTACAGAATAAATGTCATGGAATTATAATGTACAACATGGTGATTACAGTTAACAATATTGTACTGTATATTTGAAAGTTGCTAAGAGAATAGATTTTAAAAGTACTCATCACAAGAAAAGAAAATTTAACTATATGTGGTAATGGATAATTACTTATTGTGATCATTTCACAATATACACAAATATTGAATCATTATGATGTACACCTCAAACTATACAGTGTTGAATGCCAATTATATTTCAAAATGTTTTGAATAAGAGCAAAAAATTTAAAATAAAACAAATTTTAAAAATTACAAGGTTGTTCAATATTTTAAGAGTCTATACTATGTCTTACAAATGTTTTTACCTCAAGACAACCATCACACTTCAGTACATGGCAGAAGTGCTGTATGGTACATCCCGTTTTACACCTAAAGGCCAAAATGTACTAAAATTAATAACTGCTACTGCACTTCCCTAAGTGAAACTGGCAATTTTTTTTCTTTTTTGTTGCAAGCACATTGTGGAAAAGAATACAACAACTACAGTTTGATGCCACCACCCTGTTTCACACTAAGGCACTAGCAGTTTCGGTCTGCCACTGCTTTTGCATCATCAGTGCAAATTTCGACATGGTGAAAGAGCTAGTAGCATCTTAGTATTATTATAAAACTTGCTTTGATCTTATTGACCCTGTCTAAGACACTCAGTGACCCCACAGGCCTCTGCTCTAGAGAAATACACTTAGATTCTAGAAGGAAAATACGAATATTAGTAGCTCCACAATTAGTACAAGATGGAGCAATCTTGCTTAGAAATGGGGAACTGATGGACTTGCCTCAAAGCTGCATTTGCCCAGCAAGTTTATTTTTACTTCTATATGTTTATTAGAAGGGATAAATGTGTATGTAACTGCACATTAATCAGTGAAATTTACATTATTCTGATTATGATGGGCATTCTGTATAATATAGGCTCATTAGTAAGTGGCCTCATAACCAAATTTCTAAACTAATTTCTAAAAACTAAATGTAATATTTAATATTTTCTTCAATGTAAAACTAAACAGAAACAGTTAAATTTTTAAAAGACCCACTTTCAGTTTAAACAGGGCTAAATAATGAAGGGAAGACATCTGATTGGTATTGCCAAAATTTTTTAATTCAAATGAAATTTACCATGTAAATTGAGACAACTGTTTATAATCACTATACCTTCTGAGTGCAACCCACAATATGAAATTATATTTCAAGCCATACCATTTAAATTGTATAAAACCAAAGTAAAAACAAAAAAGGTCAACTTACTCGATCCGCTAACCCTCCAGGAACTATGGTCCTCACAACCACACCACTTGATTTTCCTCCAACTATTCCAAAACCTAATCCGGAACCATCATTAATGAGCTCAACATCTTCAATGTGGCCCCAACGAACCTACAAATTAATGGCAAGAGTCAAAGTGTTAGTAAACACACAGATTCTTAGCTTCCCAACACAGTAATTACTAAAGTTAATAGACATACAAATTAAACATTCATACAATTAATCAAGACAACTTTCTAGAGGCTAAGAGATATGTAAAGAGGATCATATGATCCCTGCCCTCAAGGATTTTATAATACAGTAGAGAGATAAACTAGAACATAAATAATTAAAATACAAGACAGAATATTGGATCATAGACACTGTAGCTGTAATAGAACCTTAACATCTCATTCTTCAGTCTATGCCCAAGATCTAGCACAGTGCCCAGCACATAGTAGTACATATATATGTTTATCTGAATTGAAAGAGAATCACGAAGTATTACAAGGACTGACTGGGGGGAGGCGGGGCAGACAAGAAGTCAAATCCAATCAATTATGGAAAGCTTCAAGGAGATGGTTTCATTTTCACTGCACTGTAGGGGGGAAAAGACATTCAAGCAAAAAAGAAATGTAAGAGCAAAGCTGGGTTTGAATAAGTCAACGGGAATAATTGAAGTTTTTAGAATACAGACTGACAGAAACAAGGCAGTGGTTTAGGAAGATTAATCTGGCAGCAACGTAAAGTATGAAATGATGAGAAGGACACAAGTCAATAAGACTAATTTAGTAGCCTGGCTGGTGTGGCTCAGTTGGTTGAACGTTGTCCCATGCACCAAGAGGTCACTGGTTTGATTCCCAATCAGAGCACATGCCCAGATTGCGGCCTCATTCCCCAATGGGGGGGGGGAGTGCAGGAGGCAGCCGATCGATATTTCTAGCTCTCCTTCTCCCTTCCTCTCTCTCTAAAAATCAATAAAAACATGTTTTTTAAAAAAGGAAGGATAAGAAACAACTTTTTTAAAAAAGAATAATTTAATAAACTCTTATGAGGGAAAGGAAAGGCAGGCCCAAATGAAGATATTAACAATAGATAATACAAATCAGACAAAGGGACGTGACATTTTTCTTCTAACTAGCAGGCTTTCATCAGAAACGTGCATTAAATTCACACAATCCAACTGCAGAAGAAAATTCTCCCTCTCAAGATCCTTAGGGCACTTATCACTTATTTTTTCTATTGTATTAAAGTGGGAAGTTACTATGCAATGTTAAAATAACCAGGAATATTAGGAGTATTTAATAAATTAATCTCGGAAACAATATCTAGTATCTGGGAAACAACACTTGCTATAATATGCCAGAATTAATAGTAGCTAGTATATTCATAAAGTGTATACTCTGTACCAGACACTGTGCTTAACTCTTTACATGTATTCTCATTTAATCATCCCAACACCACTGTTACTAGTTCCAAGTAACAGGTGAAGAAACTGAGGTATGGAGAGGTCAAGAAATCTGCCCACTATGACACAACCAGGAAGTGAAGAACTGGACTTGAACCCACTTTAGCCTGACCCAGAGCCCTTGTTCTTAACCACTATGCTAAGCAATTTCCCACTGGGTTAATTCTGTTTATTATGTAAATTGTGCTGTATAAATATTACTGATTACAACAGGGAAAATGTCTGTACATTAATTTGTGTTGTGACCTTGTACTGTACCCAGACAGTCTATTTTTTCTTTTGTCCCAATGAATGAAAATTAAATAAATCAGCTAGCACTTAGTGTTATAAGAAAATAAGATTTATTAGCTTGCATTCTAACGATGCAGGCCAGAATCTGTAAAATGTTATTAAGCAAGTTTAAATATTCCCAACAGAGACATATACTTTTATTCTTTTGAACTGTTTTCATCTTTAAATGAAAAAAAGAAAAACTTCTACAATTCTGTAGTATCAATAATGTAGTCATAAATACCCAGTATAATTTACAAAAAGAATGTTTGTGAAATAAATAACCAAATGTTAAGATACTCAATAATAAATCTCTAATAAAAACTCTCAGCTTAATTAATTAACTGGCTATATCACCAAGGAACACAAGACACTTTCCATCACCAAATAAATTATACTTACTACTGCAATTTGCCCTCTATATTATAAAATAATCTTAAATAAGGAGAATCACAGGACATTGAAAACAAAACAAAAACCCTCCATGAAATATTTTGTTTACTATGCTACTGCTGCATTTGGAAATATGACCATCTTTATCTTAAGCTATGAAAGTCAAATGATACCTTCTACATGTGTTAAAAATCAATAGCATAATTGAAAATTAAGTATTTTTCCAAATTTGCAACTCACTGTTTCTGGCAGAACTGTATTGGTTAGGCTGGTAGAAGTACTGCTTTTTGTGTGGACTGGTTGCCTGGCCACAACCAGACTCAAACATCCAGTGGTTTGTTGTAATAATGCAATTGCTTGCTGATGGGAAATGTTCTCATCCAGTGGTGTATGATTAATAGCCAATATTTGGTCATTTTCCTTTAACCTTTGATCCCTTGGTGAAATAAAAGAAAATTTTGTTTTAGTGATATAACATTTTGATTTTTAAAAGTCTATTATTCAAATTAAACAGGGTTTTTTTGTTGTTGTTTTAAATATGTCTTTACTGATTTCAGAGAGAGAAAGGGAGAGGGAGAGCGAGATAGAAACATCAATGATGAGTCATTGATTGGCTGCTTCCTGCGCATCCCCTGCTGGGGATTGAGCCCGAAACCCAGGTATGTGCCCTTACCAGGAATCGAACCATGATTTCCTGGATCACAGGTTGATGCTCAACCACTGAGGCACGCTGACCAGGCTAAACGGTTTTTTTTAATGGTACTACTTCACTTAATACATATATTTGAATTATTTAATTATAAAACAGAGCTTTTTAGAGTGCTTCTCATCAAAGCATTTATTAGCTCATTAACCAACTTAGTAATACATCTCGACACACAAGTATATTTTAAAAGCCATGTGTTTTGAACAATTTTTAAAAAGTACATAAGAAAATAAATTAAAAAAAAAAAAAGCCATCTCGCTAGAAAAATAAGCAAAAACAATGTATGGGACCCCACTGCCAAGGTTTTGCAAGAATGGACACTGTCCCCCTTAACTTCATGAACCCCTGTATTTCTGAATCCCTTCTAATCTGACTTCAATATATACCACACTGGGGGGGTAACTACATTCTCAAATTCATCAATAACCTCTTCTCTAGCAGATTCCCCCTGGCCTCACTGTACTTCACCTCACCAACATGGCAATAGAAGCCAGACCCTCCTTGAAAACCCAGAGATTACTTCCAAATCTGTTTCTGAGACCTTTTCCCTCCTTTAAGCACCAATCTCCCTACTGCTATCCAAGGTAAAAAAGGACTATTTCTAAAAGAAATTAGCAAAATCTCTTAAGAAAAAAGAAGCATTGTTAAAGTCAATATTTACTGAGCACTTATTAGGAGTCAGTTACTATGCTAAATGCTTTACATGTATTATCTCATCTAATCCTCACAATTCGCTTTCACAGCACTTAAATTTTACAGGCCAGAAACTGAAGCCTAGAACAAGCTTAGCATCTTTACCTAAGTAGTCTGACTAAAGCGCACTCTAACTTCTTCAGTTACAGTACATCCTAAAACTGTCCTAGGATTTACTCTGTCCCAGTTTCCCGTATTTGACTTTATTATCTCTCAACCACCTCTCCTCTTCCTGTTTTCCCATTATCACAGCAATGCTTCCTCACCTTTGTTTCTCTCTCCTGCGGCTACCCATCTCCTTCCATTCCCAATGCCAACCCTCCACTTGAGACCCTTAACTAATACCGAAAACATAACTTGCAAAATTCCTCAAGGTTTATTCTTCTAGGCTCTCCTGTGCTGCTATTTGCCAACTCAAAAATACAGAATAATTATCTATGTTTATTGACAAATAAAAGAGAGCCAAAGGAAAGAAAACAAACTCTTGCCATGATTATTTCAAAAAACAAAACATTTTTAACCTTCAAAATACAAAATCCCCAGAGAAAAAATTCACCTCAAAACACAGAATTCTAATTCACAAATCTGAATTCTGAAAATTTCATTATTTTTCTCAGGTCACACTAGATTTAGCAAAACTTTGTCAAGGGGGAGAATGTGGTAACTTCCAACCTCTAGGCCACAGTGTAAACTTGGTGGGTATTCAAAGGCCTGTGTATTTGGCCTCACAGTACTCTTCCAACCTGGCTTCAATCCCTACATAAATCCTTTTGCAACTATTCCGATCTATTTCCCTCTCAACTCTTGTGTAAATGGTTTCCTCCATCTCCAATGCCCTCCCAGTCTGCCCAGCTATACTCACTCCACCCTCCACGATCCAGCTGAGGGTAAGTCTTTTCCTCCCCCTTTCCCTCTTCCCTCCCCTTCCTTTCCCCCACCCCACTAACCTCATTATTGGAGTGCTCTGAAACACTCATTTATCACTCACTGAATATTCATTTATACTAAGTACGCTGTCAACAGAGCTCGATAAATTCTTCTTTATTAGATTTGAAGCTTCCTGCAGACAGGGACCGATAGGTTTTAGATTCTCCTTTGGAACTAGCAAGTTGGATATTTCCATTTTTGATGCCAAAATTGTGGGTGGTTCTCACAATAGATCATGTACCATTAAAAATGTTGCTTATACATCCTTTTATTAATATCAGGAAAGGTTTATGTTATATTAAAAGAATAAAATGTAAAATTGTATATACTCTATGGCCTGTCTTTATAAAAGAAAACATTCTAATGTTTCTCCCAGTTGTCTTACAGTGGTCAAAGTCCAAGAGGTTTTTTTTTAGGGGGGATTTATTCTATTTCTATGTTTTATATCTTTCTATTATATGCATGTATTACTTTCCTGACTTACATAATTTTGAAATATGTATTTTTAAAATTGAGAATGTTGCTTGTGAACTTTTCCCTGGTCCCAAACAAACATTTATTTTTCAGTGTGACCACTACAGGACAATATCCAGGAAGCATTTTCAGTTTTCCATTTCCAATGGCCTCTTTCCTCTGACTTCTTCACAGCTTGTTCATTAAGGGAAATTTCTTAATTAATCCCAATGAATGAGTTACTCTTGAATCTTGTCAACCCTGATGTAACTCATTTGGCATAAATTGGTCCTTAATTTACTCAAATTCAGATTTTCTAGTTTCTGAAAAATGATTCTGATACATTCAAATGTTGAATAAAATTAGTTTTATGGCTACTCTTATTTTTTTCTTTAAAATTTTTTTAAAATTTTTCAATTACTGTTGACATTCAATATTTATATTAGGTTCAGGTGTATAGCATAGTGGTTAGGCATTTATTTATATAACTTATGAAGTGGTCTCTCCAATAAGTCTAGTACCCACCTGGCACCATACCTAGTTATCACAATATTATTGACTATATTCCCCCTGCTGTACTTTACATACCCAGCTACTATTATTTATAATTTAACTCCCCATAACGTGTGTGTGTGTGTATATATATATATATATGAATTCACACTTTCCATTCAAGGGGAGGCTAAATCTTGTCTCTCCATCACAACATTCAGAAAAAATGGATTTCCACAACCCTGAGAGTCCAGAAGTCTTAGGCAAGCTCCCTAAATAACAGCTGTGTGTGGGAAGTCCTGAGAAAAATGAAAAAAATGATCCTAAAGACCATTTAGCATGACCTAGAAGGTCCTGCATAGCTGGCCCATCTTCCAGCCCCTTCTTGCACTGCCTTGCACTCAGCTCCTGAGTACCAGGTTAAGTACCAGATACATTCTAAAGATAGGAGATATGTTTCATCACTCCATAGGACTACTTGTTAAGAGTCTTTACATTCCTCTTCCCAACACATTCTGCTCTCTGAAGACCCCAGTGTCTCCTCTCAAATTTCCCTTCAAGCACCACTCCCTCTGGGAAACCACCTGACTCTTCAGTCTTGGTCAAGGTTCTTTACATGCTCAAATATCAAACTCTTCTTTTTGGAAGTGCTCACCTCAATTTGTAATTACAGACCTATTAGCACAGAGTAACTGAGACATAAGGATTGACTATAAAAACATACAACATGACTATACACTAAAAACTACTGAACTGTACTTAAAAATGGTAACATTTGCCCTGGCCGGTGTGGCTCAGTTAGTTGGAACATTGTCTTGTATACCAAAAGGTTGCTGGTTCAATCCCCAGCTGGGGAGTGTGGAAGGCAACCAGTTGATGTTTTCTCTCACATTGAAGTGTCTCTCCCCCCGCCCTTTCCCACTCTCTCTAAAATCAATAAACATATCCTCCGGTGAAGACTAAATAAAATAACATAAAATGAAATGATAACATTTATGTTATGTGAATTATATCCCAATGATCTTTTTAAACTTAAAAAAAATTTTCAATTATAGTTCATAGTCAATATTATATTAGTTTCAGGTGTATGGTATAGTGGTTAGACATTTATGTAACTTACAAAGTGATCCCCCTGATAAGTCTAGTACCCACCTGGCGCCATACACAGTTATTACACTATTATTGACTATATTCCCTCTGCTGTACTTCATATCCTCCTGACTATTTGGTAACTGCCAATTTGTACTTCTTAACCCCAGTCCCCCAACCCACCTCCCATCTGGCAACCATCAGTTTGTCCAATAATAATTTTTTAACTTAAAAAAAGTGTTTTTATGTTGGGCCAATCAAAGTTAAATAAACTTTTTGTCAAGGGACTTCACAGCCTTGAGTAAGCTAATGTTAAGTGACCCTAAGTCCAGGTTTATGCTGGATTGTCTGGGTTTGCCAGAAGAGCCCTAGTTTATACCTATTGTGTCAGTGTCATTAGTAATAGCATACCCTCTCACGCCCAAAACTATCCCAATTAGGACAATAAATTACATGATTATCCTAATTATATACATCCAACATCCAAGAACAGGATAGAGTTTCTCAAAGCTATCTGACCACTGCTATGCTTCCTCAGAATACACTTGAGGAAATGCTATATTAGATAGCAGAATAAAGGTACAAAGTCACGGAAATCCACTTTTGCTGAGAGACTAGAATTGATCCCCCATGAACACAGAATGTGAAATCAAAATTATATTATTAACTGAAAATCTTTTTATAATAGTACTACTACTGTCGCTATTATTCTAACAGGTGGTAGTAATGTAATGAATAGTGTGTTTGTTACATGAATAATAAACTAAAACCCTGAAATCAAAGAGACAAAATATAAGGCTTGCACATACCCCTTAAATAAAACAAAGGCATATGTGCAATAGGGGGGAAACACATAGACTTGAGGAGGCTTTTAACTGAATGTAAGTGAAATAATAGCATGATAAGACCACCATAAATGTTGTTATAATCTTAGTTTTAATAAACAGTATGGTATGCAGAATGTGAATTTCAATATTCCCATCTTACTGATGGGACCTTAGCTAAACTACCGTGTTCAATTGTGAGAAAGCGTGTGAAAGAGAGAGAATACTAGCTTTGCAGTCAGACGGTCCTGAAATCACATCATGTTTCCAGTATTAATAGCTTTCTGACTATTGGTAAACCACTGGGCCTCTCTGAAACTCAGCTTTCTCATCTAAAACACAGAGCAATAAACCAGTGGCTAAACAGCTGCCACAGATATATATGAGAATATCTGCAAAAGGCCTGACAAATGCATAGGAAGAGAAAAGTTAAGTGTTAGCTGCCATTGTTACTGTTTTTATTACTAGTTTCTTATTCTCTTTATAAGTGTTCTCAGAATGCTCAGAAAAAAAATTAGCAAAACACAAAATGAACATCTTTCTCACCTGTCCGCTATACTCCCTGGCTGTACTTCCTTCACGAAGATATCAACTTCTCCCAGATTTTGACTTCTAAGGGCCACCACGCTGAATCCAAGGCCTCCAGTTGAAGGACGTTGTATATCTATATATTCAATTTGCCGGCCCTAAACAAGAAGAACTTTTTTTAAAAAGTCAATGAAGTATATTTAACAAAGAACTGAAATTGCCATTCTGTGAATAGCACAAAAACAGCTTCTCCTAGATCATCTCTACAAAAGCAGATAAACTCGGCATTTCAGTAATAAATTACTTCTGGAAATCCTCTCACTTGATTTTTTTTTCAGTTGAACATACGAGGATGTGCAGTATTCTGCAACCCCGGGGAATAGAAGAGGTATTTTCACACTTCATTCTCATTATGAGATAAATCCCCAGCTGGATAAAAATACCAATGTCCTTTCCCATAATAAATTCTAAATTTCTTTTTACACTGAATTTATCTAAATTTTCTTGATGAAAATAAATTTTTAAATGAGGAAAACAAACTAGATATATCAAAAATATGCTGGTGTTTAGCCTGAGTCAGAACCAGATGTGTTATTTTTTGTTTTTAATTCTATTGTGATGAATTAATATTCTATCCTAATAGGTTAATTCAAAAGTTATGGGAAGACCACCATTCAAATGTGTTCCACCTGTGACAAGTATTTTATTGCTTTTGTTCATAACTGCATTTGTAAGATGAGAACTTCATAAATGTCATCAACTCACAAAAGCATCACATAGAGATAATTATTAGTGAAAATAAGGGGATAGAGCTATAAAGTCAAAAAAGGAATCAGGTATAGAACATTATTTATCACACCTTATGTTTAAACAGAGTCTTTTTAACTTTCAAACTCATTTATTTTTAATATGGCTTTTTAAATTGATTTCAGAGAGAGGAAGAGAGAGGGAGAAAGAGAGAGAAACATTCATGATGAGAGGGTCACGGACAGGCTGCCTCCTGCATGCCCCCTACTGGGGATTGGGCCCACAACCGGGGCATGTGCCCTGACCGGGAATTGAACTGTGACCTCCTGGTCCATAGGTCGATGCTCAACAACTGAGCCAAGCCGGCCGGACTCATTTCATTTTTTAAGACACATATTTAGAAAATGAGCTGAAAAACCAAAACATATCCTCAAATTCAACTATTATTTAATTTTTAATAGGTATTAGGGATAAAACTGGATTATTTTTTTAATGTTTCCCTAGATTTTCCTATTATGTTATTTCTAATTCCCATTAAGTCTGTTTTGATATAAAATTAAAAATAGTTTCAAAGGAGGTGCAGCACCTGCATATTTATTAATTTTCCTCCTATGATCAGAACGTTAAAAATCTCTTTCCTTACAAGTGTAGATATGTGCCAAATTGGAATCATTATCTAAAAATCTCTCCTTGCCATACATGGCTACTTCCTTACATAATTTTAAACCAAAAAATTTTCAACACACAAATTAGGAAATATAATCAGTTCTTCCTATAAAAACACAGGCAAACAAAACATAATAACACATTTAAAGCAAAAAGAGTGTAGGTTTTTAACCTCTAACAGGAGAAATAAGCTTAATATTGCCACGACAAGATAAAACTTTACCTGTGCCATCTGTTGAATAATTGCATTAAAGTCTTCATTTCCTGACTTAGGGGTCCAAGGAAATAACCCTGATACAGTCATGTTATTAGAGGACCGCTGGACATTCCCATTTGTAATGGCACCATCTGTGAACACTAATAAACCTTTCCTTGAAAAATCAAAGTTGGCTGAGCTATCTGAAGGTATATGACTGAGCTGTTGGAGAGAAAAAACAAAAGAGAATCAACAGAAACTTATAGAAAACAAATTATTTCTATTTATTAAATATTATATTTTACTCATCTCGTGTAATTTTCATATTAAATATATACATGTGAAAGAAGTAATAGATACATAAATCTGTGTATTTATAAGGCTATAAATTTTATTTAGTATTACACAAATGTTTACCAGCTGAAAATGTATTCTTATTTCCTGTTTTCCAGCATTACCTCAAGTAAATAGCATGTATGACAGTTCATTACACTTTACATACACAGAAACATATAAACAGGCATGTAAGACACTGAGCCCTTTTGCATTTATCTGTACATTTCCATGTGTAACAAAAATAACAATAACAATATTTATTGAGTGCTTGCTATGAACAAAGTACTATATCAAAACTCTTACATATTATCTCATTTAATCCTTATAACTGTCCTATGAGATATTTATTCCATTCTGTGAACTTGAAAACTGAGGCACACAGGAGTAACTCGCCCAAAATTGGTAGCAAATGAGTTGCAGAGCCACTCAAGCATTGGTACAAAAAAGGTAGAGAATCCTGTAATTATGGGAAACAGGAAAACGGGTTGATTTAAAAAATACCATTGGCTAACTTGAGGGCCAACACAGTGAAATAAAGGTAACATCAAGAACACACGTAAATAGGACCTCTTAGAAAAAATCACGACCCAGAGAAACTCTATGTAAAACCCTCATAGGAAAAAATTCACAGGGATTTTAGAGTTGAATGGATAAAATATGATTATGTCTATAAAAACAGCAAAGTATATAAATATAAAAGGTTGTTATGATGGAGTGGTTAGTTAAGTCCATTTTTAGTCCAGTAAGAGTGATATATTTGTAGTGATCTTTCCCAATTTCTATATTGCTACAAACAGCATTCACTTTTGTGATATGGGGCTCATCCCGTGACTAGGAAATACAGAAAGCTAACCTTCAATATGGGGAGTGCTAAAATTATGTATGAATTCTGATTTAGAGAAATTCAAAGAAAGACGTGTGGACTGTTTAATCCTTAATTAGTTATTAACAAATCACTTGCTAAATATTTATGGGCAAGCATTTTGGTTTATCGGCAAAAAACTTTTCCCCAAATTTTGTTAATTTTCACTTAATTCTGCTCCATTATCTCCAATTACATTAAAATTATTCACAAATTTAATCTGTAGGATAGCTACTATTCAAGCCTAGCTTCTAGAATACATGATTTTAAATCAATTTACCATCTCTGACCTCAAAACACACTAACCAAGAGGACAATTAAAACTATTAATTTACATCACTCATAGCAGAGGTGCTATGTGTCCTATAATTCAACAACCATGTATTTAGAGTCTGTCCAGGTACTATGCTATATGCAGTAGAGGAAACACATAGATATTAAAATACCAGGGATACTGCTTCCAAGGACTTTCTAATTAGACTGTCCATGACATTTGCTATTTGTTCAATAATTATTTGATAATTATTAAGAGGTATAAATAATGTGCTACAAGGGCATAATGACTTCTGGCTAGAAAAAAAGGACTTCATGAAGAAAATATATTTAAACTAAATACTATTTTATAATTTTGAAGAAACTGTTGAAAATTCTCAAGCATCTGACCTTTACTTTATTTAAAAAAGTATAAAAATCACCCTGGCAGGTTTGGCTCAGTGGTTAGAGCGTCCGCCCGCGGACTGAAGGGTCCCAGGTTTGATTCTGGCCAAGGGCACGTACCTCGGTTGCAGGCTCGGCCCCAGTGGGGGCGTGAGCGGAAGGCAACCACTCAATGTGTCTCTCTCACATCAGTGTTTCTATCTTTCTCTCCCTTCCACTTTCTCTGAAAAAGCAATGGGAAAAATATCTTCAGGTGAGGATTTTAAAAAATTAAATGAATAAATAAGTATAAAAACCATATTCCAAAGACAGGCGAATAATCTATTATCAACATTTTTAAACTATCCATGTCCACCATACCCACAGGTCACAAGTCCCAACACAACCTCTTTGCTAAATTAAGAGCATTTAGAGACAGTTTGTCTCTCTCTTTGTGTCTTTCCATCTTTCTTTGCTGGATTGAATATCTGAACATATAAAGCCCTGATGGGGACTTACCTGTCCCTTGAGTTGCTTGATGGATTGCTGAAGTGTGAGTATCTGGTTGAAGAGAGGACTTTTTAGTGTCTCATAAAACATAGAGAGCTTCTCATTCTGCGACGTGTCACCCTTCTCCTGCAATTTCACTTTCAGGCGATCGAGAACTTGCAGGACCTGCAGTTTATCTTATTTGAAGAAGAATAATCAGAGGACAAGTTAAATCTCATCTTATATTTCTGATTTTGAATCATTAATTAATTTAGTGGTAGAAGTATTATATCCAGTATACCTGTAGCAGGATTTTCAGGCATTTTGAATTATTGTCTTCAGTCACTTTAAAGAAACCTAAAGAAAAAATTTAAAATACAAAAGGTGATTTTCCATTAGTATATATATGTCTACAGTCCTGTATAAAATTTAAAGAAAACCTTAAGAACATTCTTGATCAAAGGACTTTACTCAGGAAATTCAAATTAAAACCAGGATGAGGCGCCACTACACATCGCTATGATGACTAAGTAGAAAGCAAGACAACAGACAATACTAAGTGTTCACAAAGATGTGAGGCAACTGGAACTCTCAGGTGTTGCTAGCAGGAAAGTAAAGTGGCACACTTTGGAAAATTGTCTGGCAGTTTCTTATAAAGTTAAATATACACTTAATATATGACCCAACACTTCCACTCCTAAATACTTACCCAACAGAAAAGATCTTTACATAAATGTTTATAGCATTTTTATTTATAAAAGCCCCAAACTAGAAAACACCAAATCTTATAACTGGTGAGTAGATAAACTATGGTACGTAAACATAATAGAATACTCAGAAGTAAAAAGGAAAAAAAATTACTTATATATATAACATGGGTGAATCTCAAAAATAGTATGTTGAAGGAAAGAAACCAGACAAAAAGAATATAAACAGTTTAACTTCATTCATATGAAGTTCAACCGATAGTTATAGATTAGTTTACCTGGGCAGGTGGGAAGGAGTTGACTGGGAAGGAATCTGAGGAAGCTTTCTGGGGTGATGAAAATGTTCTATGCTTTGAATGGGGACTGTCTACACAGATGAATACATTTGTCAAAAAGTCATTGAAGTATATATTTTATTATTATTTTTTAATGTTTTTTATTGATTTCAGAGAGAGGAAGGGAGAGGGAGAGAGAGGTAGAAACATCAATGATGAGAATTGTTGATCGGCTGCCTCCTGCATGCCCCCGACTGGGGATCGAGCCCGCAACCCGGGTATGTGCCCTGACCAGGAATCAAACTGTGATCTCCTGGATCATGGGTCGATGCTCAACCAATGAGCCACTCCAGCCAGGTTGAAGTATATATTTATTTTATTTTTTTAAATATATCTTTATTGATTTCAGAGAGAGGAAAGGAGAGGGAGAGAGAGAGAGACAGAAACATCAATGATGAGAGAGGCATTGATCGAGCCCACGACCTGGGCATGTGCCCTGACTGGGAATCGAACCCCGATAGCCTGGATCCCAGGTCAACGCTCAACCGCTGAGCCACGCCCGGCCGGGCAGTATATATTTTAAATCGGTACATTTCACTTTATGTAAATTATACTTTAAGAAAGTTGATTTCTGAAAAAGGATCCTGGGCTGGAAAAGAACATCCAAATTTAGGGATCAAGAAGATTTTAGAAATTTGAAAAAAATACCTCCAAGATGCACAAATGATCCCAGACTCTTACTAGTCATCTGAATAATGTTTTTTAAATCTAGTGATTAGCTCAAGCTAGCCTAAAACTAATATAACTGAAATTCAAAAAGCTAGCAAACCCTTTACATAGGTAGCTAGATACTAATAAAGGAAGGGAGAAAAAGGAATCAGACATTGTTGAGCCTGGTGGACTGAGGAGATGAATCAAACACTAAGAAGCTGCAGCATTCACAGGCACCCCAGAGGTTTGCAGCATTTCCCCTGTGAAGGGGTTAACACCCCTCTTCCCCCCCTGTATAGAGGAAGGACCAGATTTCCAATCTCCCCAGGGTAAAACCGCTCCATTCACCAGACTTTGGGGGGAAGGAATAAACAATAAAGGGAGAGGTGCTTCTACTATGAGGCATGTGCAGTAGGAGCCAAAATGGCAACCATAAAGGCCTGTCAGTCTAGCCTGGGAAAAGGGTTGGATTAGATAAGGGACAGAGACCCCCAGAAGATCTAGGAAGTGGGTTGGTTAGGGGAAAGACCCATTAGAAGCCCATGAAAGATGGGGAAATTGATTGGTTAGTTTGAAAGGGCACCTGGTCCTTCCCAAGCACCAGAAAATATAATCATAATATAATCAACCTAACAAAGGCTCCCTCTCTCCCTCCCTCTCTCTCTCTCTTTGCCTCCACGTGGCCCTAGCTGCAGCACAGATGGCAGCCACACAAACTCCAAACATAGCCTCCAAGCACAAGCCTGGGTACAACAACACAGCACCTACCAAAGTGCAGCTGGAAACAGGCTAGGCTAGCCAGCAAAGGACAGGAACTGAACTGGGCTGAACCAATGGCACATAATCTCTGGATCTTGGTGAAAACAAGGCAGGACTTCTTTCACAGCAGAATGAAGCTCAACCCTGGGCAGTCCTTTGATTTTGCTTCTACAATAAACCTTACCACTACACCTTACCCTCGCATACATGGGTCCCTGGAATGCTTTCCTTGTGACTCCGTGAAAGGGCCCCATTTCCACCAGCAACACTATGACCAGAATGGCACTTTCACAGTGGTCATTTTTACTAGTGGTACACTGTGGTAATGAGCCACCAAAGAAATATGAGTATTATACAGTTAAAATTTTCTTAAATCACTATACATTGCTGAATGAGATCTTTATCTACTAATTCCAGGTCACTAAATAAGAAAGCATATTAAAAATTGGTGAGGGACCCACTGACGTTGATAAAGGGCCTATGTAGTCTACTCGAAAGTTCAGTGGATTCAATGAGAACTACCAAAAGTTCAATGGATTCAAAAGAACTGCTGAATAGAGAAAGCATCACAGAAACACTTCTGGTGTGCTCAGCATCTCAATTGTGCCACCCTTACAACCAACCATTGACAGGTAACTGAATAGCCGAAGGCAGGCACAATGGCACTATACTTTTCTACAGCAGCACACGGCCCAAGAGGATTGACAAGAGTAGCTGTGTGGTCACTGATACATCAACCTCTCTAAATCAAAGAATGCAAGCCAAAACTATGAGATGCTACTTTTTACTGTCACTTAGGCATTTTTAAAAACTAATAATAGCCTCTACTCTACATGTCATGGAAAAACAAGTGGGCATATAAATCTACACAATTTTTCAGGAGAGCAACATAGCTATTGTTAGATGGGCCAGGTACAGAAACTCCTGTACAGAAACTCACCAGGGTAGGAAGCCCCAGATGCCTAGCAAAGGGCAAAACTGGGAAAATAAGAACCTTGTCCCCAGGGTAACCTATCCTCCCCCAGCATATCTTTGGTCATGTGGTTTAGACCCCCTGAGTGTTCCTCCCTAAAGATAACATCTAGGTCTCAGTTGTAGTTCAGCTCCAGGCCCAGAAAAGCAGCAAAACCAGACAAGTGGCACCGGTGGTGCCTCATGACCAGATACACTGACTAATGACCCCCTGGCTCTGACCAATCAGTGGAGACCACGACCCTGAAAGAGCACAACTAAAGAGCTGATGAATATTCTATCAAGACACTCCCCTGAGACCCCCCCTAAGATTTCCACCTGCAAGGAAGAGATAAATACCCTCAGGACAAAAGAACCAGCAGGCTCTCCCACCAGGGGAGCCCACTAGCACCACCTCCATCCCTCTGAGGGGAACCCAAGAGACCTGCAACCAGAGGAGCAATGGGCAGCAGCAGCAATGGGCTTATCCCCTGAACCTGTCTCCAAGGCCCCCTTCTTTCTCTGACTTCTCAGTGAGCCAGAGCAGGCGAGCTAGGCTCTCCTGTTGCTTCTTCTATGCTCTTCCTTGCATCACTGTTCCAAGTATATTTTTGCTGACATCATGGACCCAAAACCCTTTGGCTCACTGCTATGTAGCCCTTCCCTTTGGCTATCCCCATCCCCTTTTAATAAATTTAATTTTTCTTTTTTCACCAGTTTGAGACGGCTATTTAGCGTGTCTGTGCACCACCAACCTTAGCAATATCTACCAATATATTTAATTTATACTTTTTGCCCAGAATATCTACTTCTGAATGTCTCTCCTAAAGAAATATTTGTACTGCACTGTTTTTAATAACAAAACTCCTGGAAAAAATGGAACTACTATCAAAAGCAATCAGTCATTAAAATAATAAAGTAGGTTTGAATGTATTGAAACAGGAATGGTACTGAAATTGTTAATAGAAAGCCTGTGGCTCACTCCTTCAGCTAGAGATTCCCAGCTTAATACCAGACCTCCAAGCAAACACGCTAAAGGTTTTTAACAGATAAAAGAGTCCCTTGTTTTAAAATGTCAGGAAATACCTGATCTGTCTTAATTGCTTTTTGTAAATAATCTGAGAATGTTCGGACTTTTAAGGCATGACTGGCTGTAAGATGAGAGATAATCATACAGACATTTTCTGTTTGTATAACTAATGGAATATAAAACTTGGGAGTCCCCAAATAGAAAAGGTTTCAGTATTGTTCAGAATTTGTCTGGTAACAACTCCCCACCCGGAAAAAGTGTCCTGAGGTTGAATTTTACTCTTGTAAACAAATTTAAAATTATAGTAAAAGTCTATCAGAAATACATTTATAAATGACTTCATGTCAAGCTATATGTAACTAACTAGGTATTGTGGACATAAAAGGGGCCACATACTAAACGAATGGTGTCCTTACAAACTTATGAGACCAAAGTAACCACATGGGATGGTCTGAAATTAAAACTTTCTAACTAAAAGCAAGTCATGGCAGGTAGTCATGTCCTAGGCCGGTATCTCCCCTGACAAAGGTCAATCTTTACCTTAATTAAGCCAGCCATCTTTTTTTGCATCTATGACAACATACCTTTGGAATGTCAGGGTAATTTCCTCCCCCCCTCCTCACTGCACCAGACCAGAGACCACAAAACCCCTCATTGTTACTGTTATTATGTTAACTGTTAACTGTAAACTATCCTGAATCCACTGATGTAAAAGAAGTATGTGTATATTCCTTTTACTTTTTATCCAATCCCAGAGACTTCCCCCGCCCTTTGCTTTCTCCTGCCTATCCAATCTATCGCTAATGGATTTTAGGTAACCCCTTATCCCTCCTCCTTTGATTGTAACGTACAAAATACAAAACTGCCATTCTCTGGACCATTTTCTCAATTGGTTGAGATTTTGCTTCTCTGCAATTGTCAGTTTGGTTCAAATAAACTCATAAAAATTCTCTACAGGTTCAAATGTTTCTTACATGTTTATGTTGTCGATATGGCCTAATACAAAAGAAAGTGACATTCTTCGGAAGCTGTGCTTACTGGCTGGGGTCTTCTCTGGCAAAGAATGTCTGTGCCTGGCTCCTATGCCAGCCTCCCGCCT